CGGCCTGGGGCTGGGCCTGCACTCTCCTCTCTACAGCGAGAGCTGCTCGGGCAAGCGGGGCCACAGCGCCCCCTTCAGGCTGGGCTGCATCGCCGCCTCGCTCTTCCTGCTGCACCTCTTCGACTCCTTCAAGCCTCCCACGCACACGGCTGCTCTATTCTACCTGCTGTCCTTCTGCAAGAGCGCCACAGTGCCCCTGGCCACCGTGGGCATCATCCCTTACTGCCTGTCAGGGGCGCTGAGCGCACACAGCAAGAAGACCCTCTGAGCTGGGGAGGCCACACTAACAGAAAAAGACAGAGCGAGAGAGAAGAGGAGCAGAGAGTCTAGTTCTGAACTAGGAGCTGTTTCAGATCCACAGCAGGAGTCGCAGACCCTGCAGCATCATATTTTCGTCAATAAGCTAATGCGTTTAGATTTTTTCCAAGAGGACAATTCCAGCGTTTGCCTGTAGTGCAGCTGAGAGAGAAAAGCATGTCTCATCTCGCCAGGGAACTGCTCGTTTAATCTTCAAGAGCCAACTGCAGCCTTAAAAATCAGACAGCAGCTCCTGGTATGAGGGCCCAGGGGATACGTGCCCTACAGCAGGCTGTAATTCAGTGTCCCAGTTTCAGATTTAGTGATAGGCATGCAAGGGTTCTTGTGGACCTCTTTCCCTAGAATGCAATAAATAAGCAAGGGGTCCCCCCTCACCAACAGAATGCAGAAAAAGATTGTGCAAGATGTGCCCTGTCCGTCCTGCACAGCCTGGCTCCTGGCCCATGGGACCACTGGCCATAAAAATTCCAGCTGCCAGATCAGCTCAGTATTTTGCCAGAACTGAGCACCTCTGTGACACAAGATACAATGATCATGCATCTTTCAGAAACTATTAAGAGACTAGAAGAGATTCTCTGGATTCCATTCCTACTTGCCCGAATGGTCAGATTTCAAATCTGATTATCTAAAATCAGGAAGCGGCACTACGATTCTGAGCTCATGAAGCAGTTTGTAGCCTACGGCTCTGGTTGAGTTTCCATGCCCCCTACGGATGGGGCTCCTTCTCGCTTTTTAAGCATGAAAGTGTATATAACCTGCAAAAAAAACTCCCCATTTTCAAGCCAGTACTCCAAGCTTGTGTGTTTGCGGACAAAGACTGTCAACATAAAAGCAGAAACCTCATACGGCAGCAAGAGTTTCTCAGGAGTCCTTGAACGTAATCATTTGGCACGCTTGCTCACTGAGCTCAGACTGGATGATGGACAGAATGTGTCCCCTTGACTTCCTGCTATGGTGCTCAAACATTTTGGTAAATGACATGACTGTTGTGTATTGCACCGAACTCGACACTAATGAAGAACATGTTCTTCAAGAGCAGAAAAAAATAATTAGGCCTTATAGGAGACTTCAGGGGCTTTATAACTGCGTATTCATATTTTGCTGATGCACTAAGCAAACCCGATTCAAGAAAATAGGTCTGTATTCTAGATAACAACCTCATAAATATGATACAAAATATCAGATATTTAATAGTGTTAGTAATGCATAGACCACACACTTAAAAAAGTATACTCTTAGCTCCATATCTGCATAATTTATTAACGTCACCTAATAGACTCACCACCTAATGTGTTATGTGTTGAAGTGTTGATACAAAAAACTAGACGTATGTGGAGCAAAGATTGTGTGACGTAAGCTGTTTATACAGTTTAACGGCAAAACAAAAACTCAAATTGCAGCTGTACAGCAGTATTATTTTATTCTCACATTTTAGCAATTGTCAGTCCTGAAATGCAGTGCCTCCCTGTTTCTGTTTGGTAACTATGACGACCCACGAACTGGAGTAAACCTCGGATTGCAAAGACACAGACGTGTCGGTGAAGGAAAGCAGTGGACCTGTCAGCAATCTGAACAAACAGACAACGACCTGAAGTGCTGCTCCAACTGGTTCTGTCCGATTCTATCAGGGTTGTCCGGCAGTAACGCTGGCAGCAGTTATTTGTCTGTCGCATTCCGTTTCTAAAAGACTATTTTGTCTTTGTATTTCTGTTTTGGATCGTTTCAGGCCTGTTTTTTTTTTTTAATAAAAAGCAATGAAAACTCCTTCCGTTCTGCCTCTTTACAATCCTTCATCGTGTGTAGTGTTGTCTGTGGGTCACAAAATCTCCATTGTGGCCTACAGAGAACCAAGCTCCAGTGAGTGCAGAGCTGTGGGGAACGTACATCAGAAATCCCGGCTCACATAAAGGCTTTGTGAGTAGAACTGAATTGACATCACACAGCCAGAGTCCAGTCCAGAGCCATGTGACCCTGTCTGATGCACTGAACCCATTTAGCAGGCCTTTCATTCTCTATTTCCACAGCTTTCAGCACAGCCTTTTCTGGCCCACAGTTAGCAACATCCTCTGTGCATGTCACACACCAACACACTTTTTCTTCTGCAACCCCAGAATGGAAGCAGCAGGACTTCTGGAGTGACACAAGGATAGACAGGCCTTGCAGGTGATACCTGCTGCCCTGAGGTCACTGCATTACTTTGAACTCGAAAGCCTCCTGGTTTTAGCAGTGATCCTGCACTTCAAGAAGAGCTCCCCCCCACCGATGAGTCACAGGAGTGATAAATGACTTTAAAGATGGATCCATTAGCCATTAATGACACAGAAAGCTTATTGCCACCTCATTCCAGTTATTTCTAGCAAAGATTTTACCACGCTTGCAGTAGGAGTCTGGAAAGGCCCGGCATACAGTAGGTGATGCAAACAGCCCTGATCATGCTTCTATCACTTCCCTGTACCCAATCCTGGACAGCAAAAGCAACAACAACACCCGTTCAAAGATCCCATCCTGGAGGGTTCTTATCACGCTGTCCGGCAATCATTAACCTGTTTTTCAAGCACCTTCAAGAGAGGCCTCATAAACAGAGGCTCAGAAGACTGAGGTCTACATGTCACAGACCAGTCTGACTCCATGTGGAATGCACAATCATGGCTGTATGTCCAATATTTAACCCCAGCAGTTGTTCTGTATTTTACTTTGTTGAAAACAGCTTTCGGCTGGAGGAATCTCCCCATTTTACTTATTGAGTAATAGGAGCTGGGAGGGTGGGGGGGTCTGTCTCCTAAATTTGAGTCATTGCTATGTCCTCTACTTAGTGCATGTAATGGACACTACGCTGTTTGAGTTATTACAACCTCAGCTTGAAAATTACCAGGCAGCAGGAGTAATGACACCAATAATAACAGTAATAACTACATTTAAAAGCAAATCAAAGAGGATTCAGTTTCTTTACATTTCCCTGCTATCATCAGTCACACCCTGTCCGTAAGGGATGATGTCTTGTTAGCTTACATAAGAGAGGAGCAAGGACAGGAGTGGACAATGTGCCAGCACATCCTGAGACCAGACGTGCTTCATGTCAACCAGGTGAACAAGAGGCACAGCTCACACACCTGTGGAAACTGGACGTCCCCAGCTATAAATGTCAGAAATAAAGCTTAGATCTTCCAGGGTTTATTCACGGTCGCTTCCCAAGAGACCTTTGGAGGTCAATTCTGTCAGTCTGGGCTTGGGCTTGATGGGTGCTTAACCGATTGCCGGTGTCAGCTTCCTCCCCGGGTACAGTTCCAGGAGGTAATAAAGACCTGGTGCACATTTCTCCAGCAGCACATTTTCTCCACATTTTCTCCAGCAGCACGCTGTGCCCCCACCTTCCTGTGCATGCTCTCCAAGAGAGGGAGGCACGTGAGCACGCATTTGCCGTGCTGTTCTGTTGACCTGTTGCGCCACTTGGGAATTGAGCTCCGTTACATCTCCATGGAGTGAGACAGGAACACTGCCGTCTCCCACCCCGTCTCCCACCTTACTTCATTTCCTGCTCAGCATCTGCGCCCGAGCGCCGCGGAGCCTGGCACGCAAGTGCTTAGCAAGCAGGTCTTTAATTAGGTACAGGATGCAGCACCATGGAAAGGACACCGCGTGTTGTACAGTGGAGAGTCTGTATTTTTAGCTCGCCACTGATTACAGCTCATAGTGCAAACAAAGGCTGGACCTTGACTTCAGCGGGTCTCAGCATCACCCGGAGGCAGATAAGGCACAAGACGTCCTGTTTCCCTGGGCTCTGCGATTCACTAACCCCCAGCCTGTGGAATGCTGAACAGAAGCAAGTGTTAAACCCATTTAGCAGCTCTACCCACTTCTGACATGCTGCCTGGATGGTAAAATATGCCCCCTGTCTAATTCCTGTGCCTAGAGGTTTACCATTTTCCAAGTGTTCTTTCCATTTTTCATTATCTAAAAGTAAAAAAATATACAATCTTCAAGAAAACCAAGTTATAATCAGTCCCACTCAAGTCAGATCTTACTACCTGCAGAACCTTAATGTGCAGAGTGCTGCACAGTTAAACACTCAACCTAGCTGACTAGATAAGGAGAGATCAGCAAACGGGTACAGAAAGTCAACAGATTGGCTTTGTGCTCATTCACATCTTCAAATGTGTCAGCTGCCTTCAGCGAGTTAGGGTTGTGTACAAACACTGCTATCAGATCCATCTGAATCACCTCTCTGGGTAGGAGCGCACAATACAGAGCCGTACTGACAAGATGAAATAATCATTTTCTTTGGCTTCAGGCATCCGGAGATATGATTGCCGCTATTCATGATAATTCAATCAGAGGAGAAGCTTGTTAGCTTGTTTTCTCTGTGCCAGGGAGATATGCCAGGGTCTGCAGTGATGTAATACATGAAGAGGTCCTTCTGTTTTGCTCTCCAGCTCTCTCTCTCTTTTTTTTACCCAGGGTCCAAAGATCAGACACCACAGCGGAATGAGCATTACACAGCTAGGGTATAAAAAGCGGCGGTGGCGTGCGCAGGCAAGTGGAAACGCACCTGATCGCAGGCCTGCCTCGGCTCTCAGTCCTGTCAGCGGCTGCCGCGACCCACCAGGAGACAGAGGCGATGGACGCAGGGATGGACTTGGTGCACGACTACGGGGTGGGCGCCGTGCAGTACCTCCAGACCCACTACAGAGACGCCCAGGGCTGGTTCCTCCTCGTCTCCTTCATCGCCGACCTCAGGAACACCTTCTTCATCCTCTTCCCCATCTGGTTCCACCTGCGGGAGTCCGTGGGGGTCAAGCTCATCTGGGTGGCCGTGGTCGGGGACTGGCTCAACCTCGTCTTCAAGTGGTGAGTGCCGCCTGAGGTGCACAGGCAGAGCATCTCTGTTGTATTGCATCAGCCACCAATCGGACATAACAGCCCATCTGTGGCCAGCGTTGTGTTTTCTTTCTGTGCTGTTCATTTTGCTGAGCTATTAGGCAATGCTTAAAATTTAGAGTGCTCGTCTCTGTAGAGATTTACTTGTGCTTGTTTAGCTCTACATTGTAATATTCTGTATGTCACTAATTGTACTTCTAGGTAACCTTTTATTTTGCATTATGTTTAGTTCGACCTTCTGTAAAGTGGTGTTCAAAATTAAAAAGCACTCTAGAACACTTGGCAATTTACCTGCACCAGATTTAAGATTTAAACTGTACTGGAGTGGCAACTTCCTGCTTTCTAAAGTAACATGGCTCAGTAAAACGGGCACCAATTTTGGTTCAGAGAACCTCTTTAGCTATTAGAGCCAGGGAGAAAAAGCTTATTTTAAATTGTGCTCTATGCAATTCACAAGCACAGCTAGCAGCAGCTATTATGATTGAAGAATGTGCTCTGTCTGAAAGGATGTCATACATTTTTGCAGGTTTCAAACCTTTCTAGAGACAATGAACTGAACACAGCTGATGGTGGCTGTACAGCCATTCTGTATTCAAAGTGCTTATTTTCCCATGGTGGACAGGATCCTGTTTGGAGAGAGGCCCTACTGGTGGGTCCATGAGACGCCTTACTACAGTAACTCCTCAGTGCCGCACGTTGAGCAGTTCCCAGTCACCTGCGAGACCGGGCCAGGTGAGGCCTAAAACCTTTCATCCAGCTGCTTTTCTACCTGCCTAATATTTTAAAACCAGCTTTACAGAAACATGCCAGTTCCCTTGCTCATCTCCCCACAGGAAGTCCTTCGGGTCATACTATGGGCTCTGCCGGAGTGTACTACGTGATGGTGACGTCTCTCCTTGCCATTCTGGTCAAGAAACACAAGCCGTCGGTGAAAAACTGGTGAGTGGCTGGATACCCCACACACCATGGGGTGGGCAATCCTGGGTCTATTCAAAGCACCAGCAAGTGAAGAGCAGAGAAAAGCTGTCAAATTCGTCCCCTTCAGCCAATAATGAGCTGATGGAGGTGAAGAGGTGAGTTGATGTGTGAAATATAGTGGGCCTCTGAAGCAGAGACACAGAACAGAGTCCCCCAGGCGGGGTAGGGCAAAGATGTCCAGGGCTCAGCTTCCCAGGTTGCCTGAAGGTTTCTGGTGAGAGATGGCATCAGTCTACCAGTCGGTGCTGAACCTCCTTCCTGTCAGCCACACTTCAAAGTGATGAATGACTTTGTGTGGGTGCTACTGTGAGCTTTGATGCAAGAGTCAGAATGAACATGATTTCAAACTTGACTCATATACTTTACAATAAAAAACGGTAACTCTACATTTATGAGAAACGTGGCACTCTATCAATTTAGGGGATTTATGTGTAAATGTTAATATGGTCAAGATTAACCTTTTGTACTGGATACTGTGATACTGTATGCAGGCAACTTTCTGCATCTCGGCACCTTGTACTATCTTTTCTATACCCTCCTTCCCTTATTGACCTCTCAGCAGGTTCATGAAGTTCAGAATTGCAGACACTTCATCTGCAAAGGAAAAGTACAGTTACTTTATAGTCAGCATCTCTGACTTAGATTCAGTTTCTATTCCTTTTTTTTCTAGGTTTCAGCTCAGTTCATTTGACAAAAACATTCAAGCATCCTACTTATGCAGATTGCAAGTTCCAATCCAGGCTGTGTCACTTACCCAGCGTGGCCGCATAACAAGCCAGGAAGAACTTTATACCTGATACCAGAGTACCTACAGTACCTGCGCAGGTCAGTGTGGGATCTCAGAGCTCTCCCCTGACAGCTCCTCTCTCTCTGGTGTCCTCCCTCCCAGGTGTGTTCGTGCCTCCTTGTGGACACTGTTCTGGGGCGTCCAGGTCTGCGTCTGCCTCTCCAGAGTCTTCCTTGCAGCCCACTTCCCACACCAGGTCATCGCAGGGGTCATTTCAGGTAAGTGTGCACGAGTTTGGTATCAAAGATTTGGGACTTTTCGTTATAAAAGTTGAAATTGCATATTTTTCCTTCCCTTTGCAATTGGCAAGCAAACAAGATCTCTTAAAATATTAGGATACAGTCTTTTACGGACTGTAGCAAAGCTTCAAACTCAAAAGCTAAAAAATAAATCCAAGCTGCCAAAACTCTCTCTCCCTCCAGGTATGATTGTGGCCGAGGCCTTCAGCAGGGTGCAGTGGATCTACAGCGCCAGTCTGAAGAGGTACCTCCTCACCACCCTCTTCCTGCTGGTCTTCGCCCTGGGCTTCTACCTGCTCCTGCGGGTGCTGGGGGTGGACCTGCTCTGGACGCTGGAGAAAGCCAAGCGGTGGTGCGTCCGAGCCGAGTGGGTGCACATGGACACCACACCCTTCGCCAGCCTGCTGCGCAACCTGGGCACCCTGTTCGGCCTGGGGCTGGGCCTGCACTCTCCTCTCTACAGCGAGAGCTGCTCGGGCAAGCGGGGCCACAGCGCCCCCTTCAGGCTGGGCTGCATCGCCGTCTCGCTCTCCCTGCTGCACCTCTTCGACTCCTTCAAGCCTCCCACACACATGGTGGCCCTGTTCTACCTGCTGTCCTTCTGCAAGAGCGCCGCTGTGCCCCTGGCCACCGTGGGCATCATCCCTTACTGCCTGTCAGGGGCACTGAGCGCACACAGCAAGAAGACCCTCTGAGCTGGGGATGCCGAAGGGAGAAGGGAAATACAAGCACGAGGGGAGGCGATGCAAGCCGTGTCTCTGTGAGGTGTAGTACCGGAGAACTAACACCGACAGCAAACTGGGAAAAGACGGGACAGTGTCCTCTAGTTAGCCCTTAAAGAAGCCATGCTGAAAAGAAAACCAGATACCCTTGACTCTGCCAACAGCGGCCTTCTGTGAAATCACTCGGACTGCCACACAGCCATGAAGCTCTTTCGAAACCTGTACAGCGCAAGCTCTTAGTGGAGACAAAGACATCTATAGTACGAGGCACAGGATTATGGAGAATCCACTCCACTGTGAGCAGTGATTTGCCTCTGTGCATGAATGCAACTGGTTTTCTTGTAATAATCGTTCGTGAGCATTAGGCAACAGAAGAATGTCTACCCAGTCTTGTCAGTAAGTGGGCTTTCTTTTGCTCGCAGAACAGAAAGTAGATGGTGCACACTACACCACAAAGTCACTAGCTCAGAAAACAGAACAGCTACCTCCTAAGTACTGTGAGTCACCCTTTTGTGGAGTCAGGGGCCTCTCCACCCGAGTGGTGGAGCTTTCAGGACAGTCCGGGGCCCGCTGCCACAGCTCAGGTTGAGCAGCATTATTTCTGCCTCTGACAGGAACCAGTAATTATTGCGTGAGCTCCCCATCGCCACACAGCCAGACCAGCAGGGACGCCAGAGACAAGGGAAAACAACATAAACAAAAGGTTCAGGTGGGCAGCTGAGTCAGCATGCGTAGGCTGCAAAGGAAGAAGTAATAGGTTTATTCCCTGCTGAAAAGAGAAGAAAGAAAACGCAACGTTTTGGCCGTGGAGCCTTCTTCAGGTGTGAAGAAGGCTCCACGGCCGAAACGTTGTGTTTTCTTTCTTCTCTTTTCAGCACGGAATAAACTTATTACATAAACAAAAGGTGGCAGCCTGTGAGTAAATGATCTGCTGTCACCTCCAGGGTTTTTTTTCTCAGGAAAAGGAATGAGTGCAGGATCACATTAAGCTCATGGCTATTAGCTGATTGAGGATTATTTGAACTTCTAGACATACTGTACAGTGATATTCCCTAAAGGGTATGTTGTAAATAGGCTGTTAATACTAATACCTAATCTCTGTTATGTGTAAATTGCAAGTAGGATGTAATTTGTATGCCAGTGGCTCTCATCCCTGGTGCTTCTGGGATTTGCTCTGGGGCAAGCTTCACATTGCCAACAAACTGATTTCAATCTTCGATTTCAGGTGCTTTTTAACATTTTCTTTCAGGTCTTAAACGGGTGTATAAGGCTTGTAAGGTTTGTAAACTGTGCAGATTCTTTGCTTTCAGAACTGTTCTCTTTCCCGTTATGTTAACGTAAATGTAGCCAATTAGATTGAAGCAGCAGGAAAAAAAAAACAAACGTTCATTGTCATGCTGGGTCTGTTCATCTCAAATCTAGAAGCTTTTCAGTCAGAGGTAATGATGCAAATTCTTCATGAGCAAGTTGAGGAGAAAGTGCATATTAATCTATATTCGAAAGTAACAAAGGAACATATCTTAGCTAGGGTGTAATGAAAACAGGAAAGCTAAAAACAATACAAAATGATAAACAGACAAAATGATCAATTACAGACATCAGTTGGAGAATAAGATTCCAGTTGGAATAAAAAACCTTCAGAGACAGCAGACCCTCGTGACTGAAAAAGACCACTCATTGCATTAAGTGCATTATTTACAATCTTATTATTTAAGGCTTAGGCAATCTTTCTAACATTTGTAATAGCTTAGGATCATTGTAGTTCCTGGGGTCTTCAGTGGATGGGATGTAAAAATTAATAGTGGATTAACTATTTAAACATGTATTCTTTCTATTTACTAATGAGGAGTTCTTAAACTTCCAAAGGTTTTGTATGAAGCTCAGATTGCAATAGCCACTTTTTTCTGCATCAGATGTGGGTGTTTTTGTATTATATGAACCAGCAACATAGCATGCACATTGTATATGTTTGGTTAAATAAATAATAAAAGTTGTATTATTGATCCTAAAATTAATCATTTTCATTGATTTTTTTTAAGTAGATGTTAATTAGCATTTCACTAAGGAAGTACAAAGCATTCATGCCCTTTCACATTAATGTGAAACAACTATAATAACATTTACACTTACAGTATATAGAGCTTTTCTGGACAGTCCACTCAAAGTGCTTTACAGGCAATGGGGACTCCCCTCCACCACCACCAGTGTGCAGCCCCACCTGGATGATGTGACAGCAGCAATAGTGCACCAGTACGCTCCCCATACACCAGCTCTCAGTGAGGAGGAGAACAAAGTGATGAAGCCAATTCACAGATGGGGATTATTAGGAGGCCATGACAGATAAAGGCCAATGGGAAATTTGGCCATGACACTGGGGAAACACCCCTACTCTTTTTACAAAACGCACTGGAAAGTCAGGACCTCAGATCTACGTCTCATCCAAAGGACAGTGCCTTCTGTAAGGACAGTATAGTATCCCTCATCACTATACTGGGGCATTAGGACCCACACAGTCCACAGGGTGAGCGCCCCCTACTGGGCCCACTAACACCTCTTCCAGCAGCACTCTCAGCTTTCCCAGGAGCCTACCATCCATAACTACAGACTTACAACACTTCAGTCCTCCCATTAAGCCTTTTCAGATTCTAGTCTGCCTGCAACATTTTGCAACCAAAGCAAAGAACTAAGCAGAAGCAAAAGTCTTACATACCAGGAAAAGTCAGAATTTCCAGCTACGCCCATCAAACGCTTCAAGAAAAAGAGCAGATGCTAGACTAAACTTCCACCTGCATTGCAAAACAGGGTGAGTACCTTGACTATACTAGCACTTGACTCTGAAGACGTCACACAGTTCAAAGCCCTCTCCCTCTGTGTCAGTCACCCACGATCGTCACAGTCCCTGGGAAGATCGTCACTGACCTCCTGGCAAAGATTAATAATTGCCTTGCAGTGCTTCTCTCACAGTGCACCATGCCTACATGTGACGCGATCAAAAACAGAAAAAACAAACTGTAAACAACAAAATCAAGAGCCAAGGTCAAATCATTCCAGACACCAATGCTTTCAAATGTGACATTTGAAAGTAGTAAAACTTAATAAAAAAGGGTTTGTCCTTTAAATTAACATTTCTGCAGATGAGCTCACAACCCAATCTGTTATAGATCATAGATCTCGGTATTACAGACTTGTGCTTGACTTTCAAAATTCACACACTCGTGAAAATGAGTTTAGATGCAAAGTGCGATGAGCAAAAAGGGAAAAACACACATGCAGTAGAGTATCAGTTCTGGTTTTCCTTGTTTTCACCCCATAAAGCTCTAATTCACAATGCACACAGAAGAAACAGCAGTCTTTTGTTCCTCCAAACAGAAAACTAGCACTGGATTTCAGTGCTCTGTACAGAAAGTCACTATTATAAGGCCAATAAATTAGGGATCTTATTAAGGATCTTCTGGACCTGCATGTTCTTTTTATTGAGCAGAAAGAGGTTTCATTACATTCCCATTCATTAAAAGACGTGAAACATTTTGGCCAGGCTAAACATTTGTGCTTCACAACCAAAAAAAAAAAAGTTTTTTTAAAGCCCATTTTAAATTACACTAAAAGTAATATTAGTGCTTTCACTGCAGGGACAGAGAGCTGAGCAGTATAATGGCGAAGGTTTAATACAAACAGCCTCTAAGCTAATTGGGCCACTTAGGCTTGGAGTGGGATGTACAAGACTCTTAGTGCAAACATATCATATACTTTATCCTATTCTCTTGAACTTCCCTGGTTGTATTATATATTCATTTTGGATTCCATGCACCACTGACTCGCTCCTGAGGAAATTCGGCGACGCCGGTGAGATGAGCAGGGCTGCAGCGCGCGCGCTCTCGTTCGCGGAAACCGCGCGGGCGGCTCGTGAGCCAAGGGCGGCCGCGGCGGGGTCACTCCTCCTCCGAGCTGCAGTGCTTCAGGTACTCCAGCAGGAGGAGCTCCGCCTCCCCGCGCTGGGCCATGCGACTGGCCTTGCCCTGGTACCGCCCGCGCTTGCCAGCCCCCTTCCCGTCCAACGTCTCCGCCACCCTGCGCGACAGAAGGGGCAAGCGCTGTCGCCTTCACTTTGAAGAGCTGGATCTATCCCACCGGTCTAGTCTTTTTATCCAAGTCAGGGTCGCGGGGGAGCTAGTGCCTATCCCAGCAAGCACTGGGCACAAGGCAGGGTGCACCCTGGACAGGATACCAGTCCATCACAGGGCACACACTCACATGCACACCAGGGCCAATTTTCCCATTACCCTACCAGCATGTCATTGGACTGTAGGAGGAAACTCCATGCTGACTGCACCCCAGCAAAGGAGCCCAGGGCCCTAGTACTGCCAGGCAGCAATGGCAACCACTGACTTATAATTGATAAGTTGCACTTCCTTGCACTTCATTTATTAGTGCTTTTTCAACACAAAGGACTTTACATATAGGAGACACTATCTACCACAGTTCACACAGCTCAGAGTAATAGCCAAGTCCAGAAAATAATAACTCAAACAAGCTACCACAGTCATGCTGTTGAAGCCACTGCCCAGGTTTCTTTCAAGAAACCACAGCTGGATGACATCTTTGGATCAATTAGTTACCAGTTAGTAGACGGGCAAAAATGACTTCCTCTCATTCGTAATGGTTCTCGTGTTCTTATTTGAACAACAGTACAGAACTCTGTAAAATAAACCTGTCTGGTTCGGTCATTTTCCAAAACATCTGGAGAGGCTTCAACAGCCACGAATCCCGGGCCGCAGAGTGCAGTCCAGTCCCGGCCGGATGCCTCACCTGGGTCCCAGCGAGTCCACGGTTTCCGCCGGGCCGGCCAGCAGGAACAGCCCTGCTCCCTTTTCCTCCCCCACAGTCAGGAACAGCAGCGTATCCTGTAGGGAAACCAGGAGCAGGGCCGATGAGATTGATCCTGCAGAGCGGCTGCATCTGCAGGCTTGTGTTCCACTTCTGCGTTTAAAGACTCCATAGACACAATAATCCTCTTCGTCTTAGCGGTTCCCAAGGCGTTAGTCACCTATAAATGCTGCATAACTCTCCAGGAGCAAGAGTGAGGACAATCAGACCAAGGCAGCGTCTACAGCTCAGCTTCCTGTTGACTCCCCACACCTGAGCTGTAGGCTCAATTTCCCAGGATACCGGGATTTCAGCATTTATGAAACTCTGAAACTCTCAGCATAACTCCTGTTCAAGAGCAATTAATGTTTTTCCCCAGTGAACTCTGTAAAACGCCGGACACTGGCCATCATGGTGTCCAAGCTGCCGAGAGCAGGGATGATCAGCAGCTCAGAGGAGACGCCAAGTAAAGAGCCACCAACCGTGTTCTGGAGGAGATTTTTGTGATTTTGCATAATTTTAAAGGGGTGTCACACAATCAGAAGTAAGTTCCAAAAACTAGAAGCCAAACCCACAGATTCCTGAAGTCTAAATATACAGTACTACCTCTACTTTTATAGAATCGGCATCCTCAAAAAACACTTAATTAGATGACAAAGATACTGAAAAAGCACTATCCTGTCTCTTTCTACAACTTAATACTATCCTTAATACTTGATACTACAGTATGTAATATTTGACACCTGAAGAAGGCTCTACAGCTGAAACATTGTCTTTTCTTCTCTTTTCAGCACGGAATAAACCTTTACATGTTCCTTTGCAACTTAATACTATTATGTACTTCCCCTCCAATGCATTAAACATTTGATTCAAATTCATGCAGCATCATTCATGCAGATAATATTTTGTTTTTATTTATATAAATTAAATTGATTAAGCTACAATCTCACAGTCTAGGCAGATTTGTGTGTGGCAGGTCTTATCTGGTTAAATACTCATTAGTACAAATATTAAGGAGACACTAATTAATACAGGAATGTTAAAATAACATCTTACTTCAGTGCCAATTTCATTTGCGATGATGTTCATGAACTCGTTGTCTCCATCCTTCCTAGACAGAAAGACAAAAAAGTAAATTCAAGAACTATTTGTATATCACAAGAGAAAAGAAAATCTTATTTTTTGTGCACAGAATTAAGGTACTTAATGAACATGCTCTTTATTAAACCTGAAGACAAAATTATTTTGCTTTTAGTCTTTTAAATATTTTGAGACATCTTCCCCGAAGAACCGCTGCCTTTTTCATAGTGATGACTTCGGAAGCCTATCGCCATCTGATACAATGGATGAGATTCTCAATCAGCTACTAACTTCCAAATGGGCGAGACGGACAGGAAAGTCTTCTCTGTGTTTGCACCCGTTCTAACATTCTTCAAAGAAAAGCAGAGTCAAGCCCTCCCTGGGACACTGGACCCAGTGCTCGTGGGAAGCACAGGCTCTGCTACCCTCTACTGTCCCCCAGTGGGTCCTTTCAGTACTGCAGTTTGATCAGCATTTGCACATGGTGGCGCAGTGGTCAGCATTGCTGCCTCTCAGCTTTGGGGCCCCGGGTTCAAGGTTGGGCCCGAGGTGCTCCCTGTGTGTTTCTATGTTCTACCCATTTTCACATGGGTTTTCTCCAGGTGCTCTGGTTTCCTCCCACAGGCCAAAGAAATGCTGGTATCTGGGAACACTGGCCCTGGAGAGAGAGTGTGCGTGATGGGGACAGGTGTCCTGCCCAGTGTGTACCTGGCCATGGGTGCACCATTGCTCGCCAAGACGCCAGCTCCCCCGCAACCCTGAACTGGATGAAGCGGACAGAAAAGGGATTGAGGAATGGAGAAGGAAGAGTTTTTGGGGTGCTGCTCTGGAAAGAGATGGCTTCGACCAAGTCGGCGTGACTCTCCCAGCAGGAAACGGCACATCTCGCTCTTCCCAAAAGGAAGCTTCCCTTTATTCCCATTATTCCAACATGATGTATAACAGACACAGTACGGAGGCACTAACTAGTCAACAGCACACCCACTTTACAAATGCTGAGATACAAAAATGAATCCCCTGAAGACTAATCCATTTTGTATTTTTGCAGACCACAAAAAATCCTCAAGCAAACAGACTGATGGTAAATGGTTTTCTACAAAAAAGAAAAGGCTGATGACATACAAATGTGAGGATATGGACTTATAAAGGCCTCTGAAGACACACTGTGCAAAACCTCTTTTTCTTCCACAGATGGGTTTAAGTATCTGTGCAGCAGGGCATTTTCATTACCTGTGCAAACAGAACAGTTTGCCTCTGTTCGGGTTGCTCTTGAAGTTCTGGGCAGTGAGGACAGCCAGGTCCCGTAACAGATTAAGGTTGTTCTTTGATAAAAGCCAAAAAGAAAATATAATGTTAAATAACTGGAAAAACAGAAAGCAAAAGTGGGCTGGGCAGAGACTTCCCTAGGATCCAATTGACACAGTCTCATACTTGCTTTGCAGACTTTAATGCCATCAATATGTTAAACCATTAATTAATGCAAGATGCTGAGTAGAATTCCATCAGGTTAGTGCAAAAAAATAAATCTATTCTATACAAAAACATTTGTGTCTGCACTACAACAGCGCACAGTTAGTAACCAGCTAGTAACCAGATGTCAGTCACACGAGTAACCAGCTTCCAGCTTGTGATCAAAGATCAGCACCAGAATGAGCTGGATGATCCCCACACACTCTTGGGTCATTTAACTAAATGCACCCAAAGAGGAAACACAGGCCTCCTTCCATCTGTAACTTCTTTGAGAAATTCTCTCTGTCTGCTTAAACCCTACTTGAACCCTGTATTTCCTATGTTGAATCTTTTAACTATTCAGTCAGTTGTTTTTCTCTTCTGATAAAATGGCTGGAGAGGAGCAAACTCAGTGAGGACGCAGGGAAACGAAGGCGCACAACTGACTTACTTTCTGCAGCAGCTTGACGGACTTCTGCAGCTTGTCGACTGCTTCAACGTGCTCCTCTGCGCCCGTTCTGAAAGAAACGGCCTTGAGTGAGTGGACCTGACGAGGAAGATGGGGGCAATGACTCTGGGGATTGCTAGGTACCTGTATTCACAAAATACACGCACAACACACAAGCAGACCACATGCTGACATGGATAAAATTAACCCGCAAAACAAGACTGTCTTAGCAGAAGCATCTGGGGAGTTTTTTTACTCATCAAGACCACAGAATTACGGCAAATAAACTTTGTCAGGCAAAACAGTGTTCTGCTTTTCGATTGCTCAGATCACAAATTAATGACAAATACATTTTAAACAGCATTTGTTTCTGTACACTGATGAACCCATTGTTTCTTCTCAACCTGTGTCTTGAGGATGTGGAAGCACGCATGATCACAACCATTGCCAGTAATCCCTTATAAAATGCTTGGTGGTCCCTAGTGTCTCAACCAATTAGCATCCATTCTGAAAGTCAGCTGAGGCCTATAATCCAGACATCACTGGTTTGAGCCCAGGCTATACCATAAGCAACAATAAACTGTAATCAAAATTCATCAAGTAACAGAGAGTAATTGGCCGCATGCTGCTGGTGTTAGATGGTTTCAAGTTTGTCAGCGTGTCCTTGTTCAATGTAAAACCCAAGACTTGATGCCCAACCCTCATCAAGTTGCTCTTCCAATTATACAGGCATATCCCACAGTGCCCTACATGGTGAACGGTTCTGCAAAGAGTGCTTTTTCTGGAAGAAAGCTTCAACTGAGTTCTCCCTCCCATGCTGGTACAGGGTTAGAGACGTGAACCCTACTGATTAACGAGTGGTAAATCCAAACTGAGAAAAAAATCACCACCAATTTCTTTTTCAAATGGAAAGGCCTCACTCCAGACAGCTCCTTTACTGGACGAACAGGACCAGAGTACATGCTCTTACTTGGTAACTGAACGCTTACTTGAGCAGGGAGGTCAGAGCTCTCTCGGTGTTATAGCTTCTGTCAGCGTATTTCAGAACCCTGTCTCCCGCCAGGAATATCACATTCGTTTTGTTCTTCTTTCCTTTCTCTGTCCCAAGAATTTTAATAACCTAAATTAAAAAATATATATTTTAGAGTTAGCACAATCTGCATGCCTTTACAGCAGCCGTTCGTATGAAAAGAAGCATCACGAGGCTACATTTTGCTAATGCAAGAACTGCTGACAACATTTGACGTGATTTTCTGTACCGTAAATCACGAGGCTTTGAAGCCAGGAAGAGCCTGCTTCACCCAGACGAATCACTAAGACCCTGGAGGAGGCGCTGGGGAATAAAGACCTCGGTACGCTGGTGCGTCTGACTGACGCCCCTTACCTGCAGGTGGCTGAGGTTCGACACGTGAGTACCGCAGCACATGTTGGCATCGATCCCTTCGATGTCGATTATCCGAACCGGCCCTGCGTGGTCCTCCGGCAGGCCCCGGCTTCGTACCTGGGAGGACACAATACAAGGTCGCACGCAGGGCCTCTCGGCGAACTCGGGGAGACACGGTCCCTCTCCCCCCCCCCCATCCCAGCTCCTGATTCACACCTTCTCCACGGCCGGGTCGTCGGGGGACAGGAGCTGCACCGTGACGGGGACGCAGGCTCGGATCTTCTCGTTCACGGCCTTCTCCAGGGCCTGCGCCTCTCCCGGCTTCATGGCGGCCGTGTCCAGCTCGATCACGCTGCGCTGGCGACCCAGCTCCCTGGCGCGCACACACACACACCCCCCCATCACCGTGGATCACTACCTCGCCGCTCGAGTCTCTGCACATGCTGCTTCAGCCAGTAGCACAAAGGAAGTCTTCCCGGCCCTCTTCGGGCAACTTCCAGCGCTCGTCCCAGCAACACACAGAGCCACAGAGCAACCTGGCCTCTGCAGTTCTGCGACACTTCGATCTTCACGGTACAATACTACCATATCAGCACAGCTTTTCCCCAGTACATTAGGGGGCCTTTCAACCCCCCACCTGGTCTAGTTACATAAATACAGATGTTGCTCCATTAAGTCACCCATGGGTGAGCTGCCCTACAAACTTCGTCATTAAGGAGGTATCTGTCATCTCTCAAAAGAGGCTAGCAGGGTATAGTCTCAATTCAGTTTCCGTCTAAATACTGCTTCTATACTGATATTTAACCTTCAATCTAATATTAAAGAATGGAAGAAACTTGGAGTGAGATTTTCCAGTTTTTTGGGGCAAAAAAGTCAACATCAATTTGTATACAAATGAACAGATTGGCTCTCAATTGTGGCCAGTTTTGCTGTGGTATTACAACACTATGCGAGGGAGAGGGAAAGGTATTTATTTGATTTATGTATTTGTCCACTGGGATTCGCATGCACATTGTTCTCTCAGGATGTACACTACCCAACAGACGTCACTTTCTCACAACACGCACAGCATATTACAGAATAGTAAATAATAAATAAAGACAGTACAACAAAGCACAATAACATACTAAGGGTATAGAACAATAAAACAGAAAGGACAATAAATTAGTAAATAATAAATAAATGCTTACCAGGATGTAGTCTTGTACCCAAACATCGAGTCTGCAATGGCTGTGATTAAGTGCTGTCCTGAAATACATTTTTAAAAGAGAAAGGTTTACACAATGCATGTCATTTTGGTTATACATTGCCTTCAATGTCTGCAGTTAAGACGGAGTTTCCACATGTGTTATTTTACAAGTGGAGTGGCAATGTGTGCGTACGTCTGGAACAGCACTACGTGAGAATCAGGCCTGTGGACAGAAAATAAGCCACAAAGTGGAAAGAGAGCAATTCGTTTCTACTCCCGAGAATTATATAATACACTGGGAAATCCGGGAATTAGAATTCCCGCCTGTACTGAATTACATTACATTTCTAGATAACTAAAATTCCTTTGACAGCCTCAGGAGCACAGGTGGAAAGAATCTGACTCAGACCTTGATAATTCTATTTCTCTACCAAACCAGTAAGGAGTACTTACAGTTCTAAAACTGCTCCTCAATGTGAAGACAGGGTTCTGTCCTAAAAACAGGACTGCACGTTTTCCTACAGATGTACCGGCTGTAGAAAAAAAGGCCCACATTTCCATCTTGGGAAAATCTCACACTCAAGCTTGTCCTGCTCACCCGCAGAACTCCGAAAAGACCCCCGATCTCAGACTCGGGCAGCGGGTCGGAGAAGGACAGCCCCTGCCGTGGCCACAGGTCTCGAGGCGAGCGGTGGCCTCTCCGTACCTGAGTGCTGCTGCATGTGGTCGAACCGTCTGTCCCAGTCCAGCTTCAGCCGCACGGAGGAGCCCTCCTCCAGAGGGGCGGCGACAAAGTGCACGGCCTCGGCGCCCTGGCGCGTCACCCGCAGCACCGGCACGCCCCCGATCAGCCCCCGGTCATCCGGCTGCACGGGACACACAGATGGGACAGGCCCACACGCGCTCATCAAGACAAAGGCTCAGCAAGACCAGAACACGGACAGCTCCCATGATGCCTGCTGCACGTATCGACCTGTCTAGCGATACAGTGCACGAGCTACCTCCAGACCGTGCTGCGCAGCCTCCACGTTAATTGCTGTGGCCAGGCACGAGCTGGACCCCGGGGTGGCTGGGAAATAAGCCGCCAGCACTTCAGAACCAACTTCAACGAGGACAGGATGACGGCAGGATCGGTGGAGTCCAGGTGGCTTTTTCAATCAAGCAAAGCGAGCAAATCAGCTGAGAGCAAAGGCTCAACGTGACATTTCTGGCACACGTAGAAAAGAACTACGTCGCAAAAACACAGTAAAACACATTGAAAGCGGGTTACGATACAGCAGCCTCCCAAAACAGAGCTGCTTCTCCATATCCACTAAACGTTTAATAGCTTCCTGAACTCTTGCTCCATTAAAACACTCCCCAGCTCATCTCCGACATGTCGAGCTCCTCCCACTTGCTCAGGTCTAGCCAATTACAACACCGCAGGGCACACACTGACACAGACAGGCACCCTCTCACACCAGGGCTTGTTCTCCTAGAAGCTAATTAACCTACCAGCAGGGCTTTGGGGTGTGAGTGGAAACCCATACGAACACCGGGAAGAGAACATGCAAGCTCCACACGGACAGCACCGCAGGAAGTGGCCCCAGAGGGCCCAACAATTAAGAGGCGCCCAGTGCTAACCACTTCGTCACAAAGCAACCAAATGAAGATCACTCCACTGATCTGTTACCTTCCTAATCGTGTCAGTGCCTTATTAAGAACATACCCCCGTCCTGCCCTTCCTAAAGAGCACGGTTCGCCCACCTGTCCGCCTCCCTCGGGGAAGAGAACGGTGTCTTCCAGGGTGACATTAAAGCCCTTCACGGTCTCTTTTTTCCCACTGTTGTCCAGTTTCAGCTCCGCGGGGCGGCAGGACACCACCGTGGTGGTGAACTGAAAATACAAGAAGGCAGCCGAGGACTCACACAAAGATGAGCAGCAAAATACTGTTTTCAGAGAGCAAAGAAATACGACAACTTGCTTTTCTTAGGTGCACACTCATGCGTAGTTAAAGATGCACATGTATGCGAAGTTAAAATCGTTATTTAAAAAAACGTTTAAGCGAATTAACAAATTTAAGATCTCAAAATATTTAATATTGAACAAGCAAACATGATTTATATAGAAGAAATCTAGGTTAGCCGATTTTACATATTATTAAATGATGTAATTAAATAAGGACCGTACAAGAAGCGTAGAATACCGGTATTTCATTGAAAGTCAAAATACATCATGTGTATGTTTGCTCTCCCACCTCTTGCAGGTAACAGTCCCTCTGACACTGAAAGGCCATAGTTATCAGTGGTACAACGAAACAACAACCTCGAAGAACATGAAATAACGACAAAAGTTAAGACTGCAGCAGCTGCTCCGGGCACGATACTTTCTGTGCCGTGTACGGAAAGCACATTGGGACAGTCTGTTTTTTCAAACGCTGGATCGTCTCATTAGCAAGTGCTGTATATGTGATAGGTAGTGGATTTAATTAAAACGTTAGAAAATGTCACAGCAAGGTTTTTTAAAACGTGTAAGAAATCAGTGCAATTTTTACCACCTGGTCACAAGGTCTTTGTGACTTATTATTTTAAAAAGTTCATGTATACAGTATTTTGAAATGTTTTTTATCTTGAACAGGGTGGGTGGAGCGGTTGTGAAAAAGATCCAATAACACTTTGAACTCGCTCTCACGTAGAAGATGTGTTTTTTCTTCTATTTAGTAGAAAAGGAAAAATATTGATCCAAATTGCGTTAGGGTATCTTGTTATCAGATATCCAACCTTTCGTTCTTTTACCAATTGTTAATCATCTGCATCCATAAACTAAAGGTTTGTGAAGAGACTTCCTGGCGATATTTTAAATCGGGACAATGAATGTGTGTTTTGTTGTTTTGAGTGTCTATTTTAAAGAGAACTGAGATTATGCAAATCTGAGTATGTTTCTTCTAGAAATAATCCCTTGAGTTATAAAGTCATTTAAAAAAAGATTGTAGTAAAAAAAGGAGTGAAAAGCATTTAGTTTTTGAATTTATTTGAATTGAATCGAATGAAAAAAAACAGCCATTTTCTTTTGGTATTAATTTAATAAATGTTATAGAAAACAACTTGTCTGTACACAACCCGCCTACGATGATAAAAATACACAGCCTGCTGAAAAAAAAATCAAAGAAATTAAAGTTTGTGGGTGAGAGGGGTTTGACTTAAACTGTTTTTGCTATGTTCTTGTAGAATGTGTGTGTCAAAAAATGTAATGTATAAGAAGACAATGTTTTCTGACCACATGATTTAACAATGTAGATAGACAAAGTCATAATTCACACTTAACTTCTGCATTTTTCCGTGATTACAAAAAAAAACTCTCATTGTCCAGCTCAAGCCTCCGTCGTCAGAGGTTAAAAGAGGGGATGTTCAAGTTTTCACTTCATTTCACTCAGGCCCTAAATTATTTTAACAGACCTGTCATTTCCTCTATAAGGCCTGTACTCTGATGTACAGTATGAGCCCCATTAGAGCATTGTATTCACATCTTATATAGGTATGCCACACGTCAATTTAATGTTTTTGCATGTATTATATGGTATTGTTATTTATATTACACTGATTTACACATTTGTAAAATCCACTGGGTGTTTTATGTGCTCTGTATTCGTGTTTTTATTGTTGTCTAAGTGGGGCAAAGGAAAATCTCCACTGTATGTGGGCAATAAAGTAGTTTCTGATAAAATGAAAAATCTCAAAGCACAACTCACAGTCTGTATACCCTACAAAAGCAGTGTAAATTTACACCTTGCTCAAACTTGGAACAACACAGCATGTGTCTTATGAAACCAAGAATAGTACAAACACCTGCTGTTTTTTTTTTAAAGAATAGGTGTAAAAAACGTCCTGACGCAGAGGCAGTGCAAGTACTTTCTTTCAGTCCGAACCAGCTCTGCACCCGAAGCCCAGTCTAGATAAAAGTGAACCTTTACTTTTTGCAGTATTGGCTGCGTCTTCACCAAAGACTCAGTCATCCTGTAGAGAGAGAAGAATCAGTCATTCCGAAAAGCCGGCGCTGTGTTCTTACCCAGACGTAACTAAAATGTCCCCAGGGATAGCACACAAACAGATCCAGCCCCATGTGGCAGGCCTGTTTTCGGAGGGACTGTATTATAGGAGTCTGCCACAGGCCTCTAACTCTTGCACATAAGGGCAAGTACGTCTCAGGGGGTGTCTACGTTATAAATATCCAACCATTTTCTAACTGCTTCTTCCAATTCAGGGTCATGGGGGAGCCAGAGTGTATCCCAGCAAGCAATGGGCATAAGGCAGGGTTCTCTTTGGACGGGATGTTAGTCCATCACAGGGCACCCCCAGACACTGACATGCACACTCTCACACCAGGACCAACTTGCCCAGAAGCCAATTAATCTACCATGAGGTTGTTGGACTGTGGGAGGAAAGTGGGGCACATGGAGGAAACCCACTCAGAACACAGGGAGAACGTCCAGTTCCTGGGGTGCTATCCATACAGATGCTGCCCGCTGTGCCACCATGGCTGCCTGGCGGACAATTCCATTTTGTATTAAAAAAAATAACCCTAAACCTGCAAATTGGCTACTAATCTCTATGTGCAGTTGTGACAGAACCGAAATCATTCTGATAACATTGCAATTCACCACAACCCATGGAAAGTGAATAAGGAACAGGAAGTGTGCGAGACTCACATCGAGATCATCAAGGTCATCCATGGCAGGGGGTGGTCCACCTTTGCTCACGCCTCTAATCATCTGAGAGAGAGACCCAGGGGACAGGTTAGCCTTGGGGGTCCGGCAGGCAGGAGCTCTACAGAGGCTGGGTGGGGTTTAATGGACCCTAAAGTCTGTCACCAGCAGGTTCAAGACACCTTGAAATTTGATCCAACTTCTAGCTCTGTGCCCTCAATAGAAAAAAAGAGCTGTGCACTGTGTCAACTTGTGATGACATTGTGATTAGCTGTTTCTGGACTTTTTTCATTCAGGTTTTGACTTTGATTAGGTGACCGAAGCCAGTGAGCCGAGTTTCACTTACGTCAATATATTTCTCGTACTCAGCCATGCCCTCCTCCTCCTCCTTCTCCCAGTCCCTCCAGTTATCAAAGTCCACGGACAACCAGCTGGGCTGCAGGACATCAGCAAAAATGGGTTATGGTTTGTGATCTGAGCAAGGCGGAATGAAGCTACTTCAGAGAAAATGGTCAGGCACTCTTTACCTTGCCCGAATCTTTTGTTAAGCGTGGCCAAGCTACACCTTCCTTTATTTTTCTCAGCATGACATTGATTGTCCGGTCATATTTCCTTTCTCTGGAGTCCTGGAGAGACGACAGAAACATTAGACTGTGCTGACCGTGTGTGTCACTCAAGAATCAGAACCCCACTCTTGAAGCACAGGATGTAAGGTGGGGAGAGCTGTGCACAACTGAAATGTTTCCCCACCTCATTTCCTCTCAGTCACCGCTGTTTGAAAAATACTTCCCACCATGTATAAATATTGTCTTAAGAGTTGCATCCATCAGAAAAGGATGCACTGAGGGGAAACACCAGCACTCCACTGTGCTCCCAAAAGGCCGTGACACCCCACTAACATGTCCCATGATCTTGAAAAGCAGATGGCACATCCTTAGTCATTATCCATTTGCAAATTATTAACTTTAACATTAACAAATTACTGTATTATACAGGAACATAGCCAACAGGATATAAACTCAGAGGACAAATGGATTGTTATAAATGCAGTAAAACTGTAGAGTCAAATGACAGGATTATTATGTTGTTACAATACACAAGATGTGCAAAATGTTTGTCTACTCACTTTTGGCTGGATTCTGTCATAGAAGTAAATCTCATTGTAGAGGTCAGTGTCATCCCCTGATTTACACCTGCCAAAGACATTTATTTAAACCAGTTATTTGATAAAATGTCAGAAACAGAACATATCAGACAATCTCTCTTCCATCTCAGCTAAAGAGTGAGGGAGCAGTATATTGAGAGCTGTTTTTTTCTTTCTGTTGCAGGGCAGTTATTAAGCTTCTTGTTGTTACATTGCAAATATTAGTTTTACAGGGCTATGTTTAATTTTCCAGTCCATATCTAGAACTAATCTAATTAATCATAAAGATTTAAATGTAGAAGTTCCATCCAAAGCTATCCAAAAGGCAAATAAATGCAGAGAAGAAAAATGAAATGTATGTTTTCCTTTACATAGAGCTTGGAAAATTAATTTAAATCTGCGTCATAGAAAACAACTATAGCCCTGGAGCAAAGCTACAATCACTCTAGAAGTTCATTACCAGGCTTCTGAGATTCTGCTGATAGAAACTGAGTTACAAGATGTATGCCGTTGTGAAGCAGGTCAATATTAAACTGTAATTTTAGAGTGTCTTCTGAAACACCGGAATCTACTTACCTGAATATCATTTTGTTCTCCTGTATATCAACTTGGACATCCTTGCTGTCTTCTACCAAGAAGTTGATGAACAGGTACTTTGCTCGATCAAACCATATTGCTCTTGCTGGTTGACTTAAGAATAAAAACAGACAAAAAGAGATACGAATTACTCCAAGTCATCAATACAGCTAACATTTCCCTACTTAATAACTAAGGGAATCTTCCTTACTGTCGTCATGCTGTTGAAATTAACAACAAGTTTTCACAGTCAGTGTGGTTTCTACTTGCCTATACTGCACACATACACTTCTATTAGTGTGTGTGAAAGACTCTTTCTCAGTGTGGCACCAGGAAAACAAGATGTTCCCCACCCTGAACACAGATATCTGAAAACTACTACATGTTTGATTGCCATAGGTTTTTCTGTGAGATTTCCAATTATGCTTTGAGCACGAGTATGGCAGAACAACTTTGCGTTCTAAGGGACTTCTAGAGTAGAAAGGCTCTGGGAAAGTGCTGCACACAGCAGTGGTGTTGTTGCCGTTCCGAGTGTGATATAAAAACCGAGCCTGCGAAGTCGGGGGGCCTACACGTCCAGTCGCACTTACCTGTTCTCCGGTCTGGTGATCTTGGACATCTTTGCTGGACGGAGGACAATAAACACAACAGCAAAAAAAAAAACCCTCGAGCTGGACCTCACAGCAGTTCCTCAAAAGAAGAACTTAATTCCTGCTGCTTTCGCTTGCAAATCGGTGACCAACACCACACTCTTTATCTGTGGTCTCTGAGCTCTGGGCTATTTTTAGGCCCTCCTCCTACTGCTGTCAGCTGTTGCCCCCCTTTATAGCCCATGTGTGGAACACCAGGGAACCACAGGGCACTTTCCAGAGCCTTCTCCAGCCAATCCCACCCACCCCTGCCCCTGGGACCCTCTGCATCCCCAGTGCTGATTGGTCCTCTCGGTTGGCTGGTCCTGTCCTGTCCTGTCCGGGCAGACAGCTGTCTACCGAAGAACACTGCACCTGTGTGCAGACAGAGGAGCTGAAAGAATGCTGGAGCTGATCTTTTAAGTGTAGGGGATTCTAGAGCTGGAGAGGGGGGTGGGGCAGCCTTCCAAAGTGGGAAAAACTCCCACCTCAGAAGTGAAAATCCTCCTTCTCTCGTAGCCAGCGGGGCTCCAGATGGGCTCCAGCAACATGACTGGGTCTCCTGGAGTCTGCTCTAAATGCAAAGGTTCATGCTTCACTGTTCATTCTCTCAAAGCCAAATATTCTGTCATCCCATAATGGGAACAGAGTAGGAAGCTGCTTTATTTATGACACTCGGTGCATCAGTGATTATAACGCGCCCCTGTACTGGCTCTTGGTGTTTCACCGCCAGGGGGTGTTTCTGCTGCTCTAGGAGGGAGAGAGAGAGAGAAAAAACTGAGCGCAGCAGGTGTTTCCATACGCTAGCAAAATGGGAGAGAAACGGTTCGGGAAAATAATATTTCATTGATCGAGGCGTTACCTGACATGAGGCTTTTGTGACACATTTTATCGCGGAGACGGTTTCGGGATATTTGCAGCAAAAGCGGACACCTGCTGCAACAGGGGTTTAAACGTCACGCTGTCGACTCGCGGGTTGTGCTGTTAAACAGTGTATATCACTAAAGAGCTCTCCATGTCTCCGCTGATCCCAGGCCCGACATAAATAAGGATTGTTTCACGCGGCTTTGAATCCTCAGTCACCGGGCTTAGAATGAAAGAAATGGTAGCACTGCAAATATTCACGATCAGTACAGCCCCACACCGCAGGCGCTCGGACGAACAGTGGGGATGTTTGAGAACAGGGTTAACACGATGTGCACACCCGCTATTCACGCTGGCTGTCGTCTAGGCGACACGTAGAGATAAGGATTTAGGGCGCTGAACGGCGATACAGCACCGCTCCCAGCTTGTGCAGGCAGTGTGTGTAAACGCTGACGTCACCTTCGTCGGCTGCTACCGAGCCTCTTTCAAGATGGCGTTACACCTGCTCGCCAGCTGGCGATGAGCAAAACAAAACGTGACACGGAGGGGGGACCGAGCGCGCTGTTTTGTGGTTTTTAAACTTTCGTCGCTCTTGACACCTCCAGCATGTCCACCGAGGAGCTGTCGACGTCGGACAGCGAGCCGGCCTTCGCAGGGGGCGAGCGCTGGGCCCCGGTGGGGGCCGTGGCCAGCCCGGAGGACGAGGAGCCGGCGGACGGGAAGAGCGACGCGCCGGGACCGCGGTGCCGGGGCGCGTCGTCGGCAGGAGCGGCGGACATGGCGACGAGGCTGAGGAAGCTGCAGGAGGAGCAGGACCTGCTCAACTCGTCGCTCCTGGCCCTCACCTCGCATTTCGCCCAGGTGCAGTTCCGCCTGAAGCAGATCGTCCACGCACAGAGCGAGGAGAAGGAGGGGCTCCTGCAGGAGCTGGAGGAGTTCGCCTTCAAGGGCTGCCCCCACGTCCTGGGCTGCCGGGCACAGGATGCTCAGGTGCTGGAGAACTCGGTAAGCAAAGCATCCCCCACCGCCGGACTTTAAAGGGGGCTACGAGTCTCTTCTGACGTCATCAGTCGTCGGCGTCTTAAAAGCGACATTCCCGGCTGGAGACTTCCATGGCAGAAGTAAGATTCCAGCCTGTGGTGAAAGGTAGTCGCCACTGCATGTCTTTCTACGGCCGGAGACATAGCCATGTCTTGGTATTTTACGGTAAACGCTTAAAGTAAGCGGGTGCCGCGTCAATCGTGGAAAAGAAAAAGAGAGCCGATTCAAGTTGCTAAGAAAGCTGTAGGAAGGCCGTCCAGTATCATGACCGGGGAACCCTGCCCTTGGCGATGTGTGTACTCTCACCCCCTTCACAGACGGCATTCCTGAGTTTGAGCATTTGTTCCGAAAGTAACACGAAACCACAGTCTTGTAGATTAACAAATGAGCAATTGGATCAGAACTGCAGCTCTGATGTTGAAGGTGATGTTGCAGCAATGCAGGAAGTTGCCGTAAGTGGGTACGGAGCACATTAGCCCAGCAGTCTAGGTATGGCACTGACCTTGACACCTAAGTGTACACCCTCAGTAGAGCAGACAGCTGCGCTCTTCACAGCGACGTTCAAACGAGGTGTCAGACGTAGGTTTCTAACACTGCCACGCCTTTTTAGACTAACACAGTAACCTCAGTGAGCCCTACACAGACAACGCCTTGAGCTGGTGATTCCCTTCTGACACCAGGCTTCACAGCAGACCAGACGTCATTGTAGCCGATGTGTTTGCCTGAGATTTATACTATGAAAATGCTGGAGTAGCAGTCTGGACCTGTTCCAACCTACTGCATCCTGTGAATGTTTTGCGATGCATGCTAAATTGCTAATCTATATTGTCCTTGTTCCACTTGCAGAGCAAAGTTACCTTTGTTGTGCCCATGTCGTGCTCCTGCTTGTGATACAATTAAACCTCGTTTTTTTTCTTTTGATTCACATGCTTTACTTTCAGGAGGAGCTGGTGAGTATGACACTGTCATAGCATGGTGGCCTCTTGGGCATCTTTGTCTGTGATTGCATTGTGAAAGGGGTGTACAGTGGAGTACAAAAGACTGGGAAGAGAGGATATGAAAAGCCTTTATTACTCCAGTAGAGCCAGTAATTGGTGTCTGAAATGACATAATGTTATTATATTTGCCTGATGCAGTGTCCAGAACTGCTGAGATTAAGCATGCAATAAACATGTGATAGAAACACCTTGTGTAGTAAGCCTCAGTGCAGTACAGTGCATAGCTGTTTTACATTTACTTCTACCAGAGTATTTTGTAACATCATTTCATGTCTCACGTTACCGTTCAATCTAAATTTGCAGATTGTCCTCTTTAAGAAATCGGACTTGATCTACATTCTAGAGAAATTGCACAATAAGAAAATTGGTGTGGATCCTGTTAAAGCTGGAAAGTCAAATCGATGTCTGCGGATATCCAGTGAGATTTAGTTCACTGTTCCCTTTAGTGTTCGTCATTTGTTTTGACACCCAAAGAAGGCTTCAAAGGCAAAACGCTGCGGGTTCCTTATCATCTGTTTTGTATTAGTGGTATGATAAACAATTGTAAGCACAAAGACTCAGCGCGTTCGAGAAACAGTGACTTTAGCAGGGTTTCTTGTTTCACGAACCCCATCTGAAGAAGATCCCCCTTGATGAACCTTGAGTCACGACATCGCTCCTTTGAATAAGGTAGTGAGCAGGATGTAGTAGTGGTTGGGGCTAAGAACTGCAGTTATGGGGCGAGGAGGGACGTGTTATTATGCTCCATCGCAGATCCAAGAGATCTGCTCCCTCAAGCCAGTTATGTAAATGATGCATTGCTGCTGCGGAGCTGAGCGCCGGGGGCTGCAGAGAGGAGACTGCGAGGCCTCTGACGGCGTGCCGCCCTGCCTCCGCAGAGCGAGAGGGAGAAGAGGGAGCGGCTGGAGGCCCAGAGGGAGAAGCAGAGGGAGCTGATCGTCCAGCTGAAGACGCAGCTGGACGACCTGGAGAGATTCGCGTACCAGGAGGGCAGCTACGACTCCCTGCCCCAGTCCGTGGTCATGGAGAGGCAGAGGGTAAGAGAGACCAGGGGTTTGTGACAGCCTGGCTACTTCCAGGACCTTCGCAAAGTTCACGATTTTGTGCTTAATTTCACATTTTCTTATCCCGTCGATTAATCTATTTTATTACTATTTTTAATAACTGGTGTGAGAAACTGGGACTGTAGTTCCCCTTCAATGGGTATGTATGTTGTATAGCTAAGACAAAGCAGATTGTTGCTTATACAGCTGCAGTATAACGTCCGTTTGTTTCCTTACCACTGGACTCTGGTCTTTCAATTTGGTTTTGCATGGATTTTGGACCGATACCGTCTCTGGAGTCGTGGATGAAACCAGCTCGGGGTGGGGGTTCTGTTGGTCTTTCCCAGGTGATCATCGACGAGCTGATCAAGAAGCTGGACGTGAACCTGAACGAAGACATCGGGAGGCTGTCCCCCGAGGAGCTGCGCCAGAGGGTGGACTCCGCCATCGCGCAGATCGTCAACCCCGCGCGCGTCAAGGAGCAGCTGGTGGAGCAGCTCAAAACCCAGATCCGAGACCTGGAGATGTTCATCAGCTTCATACAAGGTGCTCGCATTGTAGCCTGTCCCGTCGTGGCTTTGGGTTCTAAACCTTCTGTTGGCTCCTCTCCTAAGAGACTCCCTGCAGAAGTGTTTCATTTGTTATAGTATTGCTGGAGGACAGTGGAGGACTAACTCTGGTGTGCCCTCTTATAAAGTCATGTGAACCTCTGGCCATAGTGACGCAGGCCCACCAGTTGTGAATGTGTGTGATTACCATCATTATTTACACAGTGCCACCTAATGGTGCACCAGAGTTACACCTCCACCCTACATTCACGTGTACTTTTCAGTCTGGTACGAAATGGAACAATCTGCGAATTTCGTAGTTAACAGCACAAAAACATTACTCCATGCCTGGTGCGTTTACACTTGCTGCCCGTCAGGTCTCGAATCGCTTTCATGAGTCTTCCGCATCACATTGTCCTTGAAAAAGAAAGGCTTAATCTGGCCGTGAGTTCAGTGTTCTCGTCTGATTACAGATGAAGTGGGGAACCCCCTGCTGCCCGGTAACGGGCAGAGCCAGCCAACAGGATCTGCGAACCCCAACATGAGAGGCCCAGCGGGGAATAGGAAAGGTCAGTTGTGCAACGGCACATCAGTTCGCCTGATGTGTGAGTGTATTGTTTTGGTTTTGAGTCTGTCTACTTTCATTGCCACACTGAAGTCACCGTTTGCCCTGAAAACCTTGGTTCACCCTGGCCAAGACAAAAATCGGTCATTAATCGGTGTTAAGGTTAGCACGGTGATGTGGTGGTTAGCATTGGTGCCCTGTAGCTCTGGGGCCCCAAGTTCAAATCCTCACCACAGTCCAAAGACAATGCTGGTAGGTTAATTGGCTTCTGGGAAAACTGGCCCTGGTGTGTATCTGTGTTTGTGTCTGTCTGCCCTGCAATGGAGTGGCGTCCCATCCAGGGTGTATCCTGACTTGCGCCCTTTGCTAGCTGGGATAGGCTCCAGCTCCCCCGCCACCCTGCACTGGGTGAGAACATAGACCAGCAGTAGATTTCACAACGCGCCGCTTGTGAAGAGCTTGCACGAGCTTTGGCCAGTGTGACCAGACGTTTCTCGTGCCCGGGACCGCGAGAGCAGTGTGGAGTCGTGCCGCTGACCGCTGCTGCTCCCTGTGTTGTGTGTGTGTGTCTTTGCGCGCAGTGGACCCGGAGCAGGCCAGGAAGATGCGGGAGACGGGGCTGCATCTGATGCGCCGGGCGCTGGCCGTGCTGCAGATTTTCGCCGTGAGCCAGTTCGGCTGCGCCACGGGGCAGATCCCGCGCGGGCTGTGGCGGCAGGACGAGGCCGCCCAGGACTACGGGCCCCCGCTGCGGCGGCTGGAGGCCGCGGTGGACAGGGTGAGGCACCAGGCCCTGCGGAGGCAGCCCGTGGAGGAGCACGTCATTAATTACACCAGCGGGCCAGCCTGGGGGGCCCGGGATGAGCTGACGGCCGCCGTGCGCAAGGAGCTGGCCATGGCGCTGCGGGACCTGCTGGCCCACGGCCTCTACGCCCCCTCCCAGGGCATGAGTCTGGTCCTGGCGCCCATCGCCTGCCTCCTGCCCTCCTTCAGCTCCTCCCCTCAGACGCTCCACCCCTGGGAGCTCTTCGTCAAGTACTACCACGCCAAGAACGGGCCGGCCTTCGCGGAGTCTCCTGCCCGCAAGCTCTCGCAGTCCTTCAGCCTCCCCGTGGGGGGCGGTGGCGCCGCCACCGTGACCCCCAAGCAGTCCCTGCTGTGGGCCGTCCACCAGGTCCTGCGCGAGCACGACCCCTTCAAGCGCGGCGCCGACTCGGAGTTCAAAGCGCTGGTGTGCCTGGCCCTCAACGAGCAGCGGCTGGTGTCCTGGCTCAACCTCATCTGCAAGGCGGGCAGCCTGGTCCAGTCACACTACCAGCCCTGGAGCTACATGGCCCAGACCGGCTTCGAGAGCGCCCTGCACATCCTGAGCCGCCTCAGTCACCTCAAGTTCCACCTGCCGGTCGACCTGGCCGTCCGCCAGCTGAAGAACATCAAGGACGCGTTTTGACCCCCCCTGGGGGTGACGGTTCTGGCAGCCATGTTGCTGCTGGGACGTCACTAACAATTGTCGAATTGGAGACCTGTGACGTTACACCTACAGCACGATTCCACTGCAATCACAAAATCAGCAAACGAGTTTTACAGTCGTGGGAGGGTTTGTTACATGTTCATTTTTAGCGAGCCATGTGGTTTACTTACTCATTTATTGCCCACTTTAGAGGGCTCCTGGTCACAGATCTGCCCTCATAATTTTGCCATATCTGTACAGAATGTTTAACATTCCAAAAACACTACTGGGGTTTTTTATATTTGCATTCTATATTTTCATGTTGTGAATTCGTTTCTAACTCGTTCTGTGTCATTATTGACAATGCCGTCGAAAGCTGACAACCAAAATCAAAGTGCACCGTGATGTATGCTTGCCTGTGCAGGGTACTCTGTATCTCGCTGTGAGTCAGAGGTTTCCCCATTGTTTCGATCTTGAGCTCATCAGGGAGACACCGCTCCAGCTCGCGTTGAGCCTGTGCAAAGCTGCTCCAACAGAAACCCGTCTTTACTGAAATGATTAAGTCTCCTCCTGTACTGCAGCACTTGTGGCTGTAAAGAAACTGCCGATTCCCCAGTGCACGGGTGTAAACTGCAATATACATTACAATTCTAAATTATGTTAAACTCTAAATTGGCACTGCAGAGAATAGGAACTCCTTGAGCACTGTAGTGTCATCTGGTTTAGTTCTATGCCAACAAATCCATAATGTCTTCAAAGACCTACTTCAAAGCTGTTGTGGGTCTTAAGAATATAACTGTTTCACATCTTTTGAGGGACAGGATATCATAGTACATCATAGTACTTTTATGGTCTCAGGATTAAAAACACTATTAATAGTAGAAGATTTCTCATAGTAAACCTGAATGTATGACTGTAAAGATCTACAAACTGAGTCAATGCCAATGCAACTTACAATTACTAGTCTACTGTGGTATGTATTGCTTGCTAAGACTATTAGAATATAGCGTGCTTAGAAAGCAAACTAAAAACACACTGGATGTAGTTTATATTTGTAGTACCTTATGACAGAAACTTGATGAAATGAGTTATCTGCACAGATTTTTTTTTATGGCTGCTTACTTTTGCTTGTTAAAAATAAGAGATGTGGTATTTTTAATATTAAGGAGTTTAATGTATTCTGTATATTATAATTAAGCTGATCATCACATAGAAAGGGTCCTTAATTTGTCGATTTGGGGGCTGACAGAAAAAGTAGAACATTTTTATTAATTCCAAAAGGTGTTTGTAATGTATGCATATCAAAAAACAGAACTGAATGTACCATTGTAAAATACTGTATGATATAAATCAAGTTAGCAGCTCTGCTGAACTGGTAAGATGTGGGCAAGTGTGGAAACACATGCAGTCCCCTGCACAGTGCAGCAGGGGGCAGTCAACACAGGTCCAGTCAAGGGATGTGCAGTCCTGTTCCTGGAGGGACAGTTTGCCATGTGTCTGTCAAGGTACCTTTAAAGCAGCAGACTTTGAAGAGCTGCTGCTACATTGGTCCACTTAAGGCAGTAACCAGCTCGTTAAGTGCTGAGTTGAACCGGCTCTACAGGATCAAGATTAGAGACCTCCATTGCAAAATGGTAATTTGTGATAGATTGAGTTGATTTTACTCAGGAATCACTGGCACATATTCTGATTATTCCTCACTCCATGTAACAGTAAGTCTGGACAGAGAACACTAGCTGAATCAAATCCAGGTGTACAACTACAGATCTGGCTTGGCGTGTGTATTGAGGGAATGCAGAGAAAATCAGTGTTCCTATGCTCTTGTCTTTTGTTTAGCAGAACTTTGATTAAGTGAGTTTTTTCATGTATATACTGTGACTGCGCTTGCCAGACAAAGATTGACATTGAAAGGAGACATTGGTCCTTATTTTCCACATGGGCACATTGCCTGCTCCAAAGTAAATGAATTAGGTGGGCAATTTGCCTACACCCTGCACTTGGCCTAGAGTAAAAATAAATCTCATAGACATTTTGTTTTGCACAGACTGATATCCTTGAAATCCAGATTAACACCGTCAGTCATAGTGAGGAAACCTATATGGTTATACCCAGTTGTCACTGACTCTTGGTTACGTAGGACAAACTGTTCTAACTTATTGCCAGATGTTCTGGCTGCTTGTTAGTGCAAGCTGTGTGCTCCTTCGCTGCTGTAGGATTCCAATAAAACCTTTTCCTCAAGAAACTCCATGTTATTATGTGAGAAAGGAAAGGGTAGTAAGAATACTTCTTTTGGTCCGTTACAGATGAAACAATGGGCCTTCTTGAAGTTTGGCTCGGGTCTGTGCAGTTTAATTGGGTCATTGTGGTTTTTCAAGCTGCCTTTCCTAAACGACTTCCTGAGAAGTCTTTTGTTGCTTTACTTGTATTGTGTATTTGCAGGAATGGAACATGTTGTGTACTGTAGCTAAATCCAGGAAATGCTTCTGGCCTGTCTGGGTGGGGCATCTTGAAGTAATCTAATCCTGTCTTCATCCGTACCGCTCCTGTCTTCCCAGGAAAAAATTGTTCCCTTAAAAAGTCACAAAATGTATTGACGCTTGAAGCAATTGCTCTTCAAACCCATTTTAAAGCGAGAGTTGACATCTGGAGAAACTGCTGGTTTCTTGGTCTACCTTTGGGTGGGTCCTGCTGACTCGGTCCATATACAGTCGATATAGTTACCTGGTGCCAAATCCATACATTTGATTTATTTGGAGGTTATAAAGTCAGAAGCTGAATGAGCTGCCCTTGGTAAATGAGGTACACGTCGACCATTACTAGTGGAGGTGTGAGGTTATTGTGCCTGCTCCTGGAAACTTAGGAATGACGGGAGGTTTAGCATGACTGCCTTGCAGCGCTGGGGCCCAGGGTTCAGTTCTGGGGGCAGTGTCTGTGTGGAGTTTGCATGTTCTCCCCGTGTTTGCATGGGTTTCCTCTTGGTGCTCTGGTTTCCTCCCACAGTCCAAAGACACTCCAGTGGGAGTGGATGCCCTTCAGTGGACTGGCGTCCAATCCAGGGTGGATCCTGCCTTGAGCCCATTGCTTGCCAGGTCCAGATGGCAAGGCTCTGGCAGACATACATTTTAGAAATACAAAAATCCGATGTGTACTTTTTTTTGTGGAATTAATCACACGGGTTGTTCAAATGAAATTTATGTATTTATGTATTTATTTCTCTGTTTTTAGTAGAATAGAGATACCTAATGCTAAAGACATTTTAAAACCAACAATTAAAAGTATTTGATTGCTGACAGGCCTAAGTATCATCTCAATACGTAGCAGTGAATTTGGGAAGTCAGTAATTTTCCACAATATTTTCTGTTTCCTCTGCCCTGTTACTGCTTCCGGCTTCCTTGGTGTCTTCTTTAAGAAGGTGTAATTTATTGTGTGATCTGGTTAAAGCTGTACATGTGTCTAATTTATCCTCATGTAGAGGGGTGTGTATATATCTTTGATTTCCAAAAATATATTTTCAGTAATGTGTAAATGTATTTGATTTGTAGATATGTCTGTTATTTGACTGACAAATGCAGAGAATAAAAATTTCCATCTGTACTTTCCGTGTTTGTATGCCTGTGTTTACTATTGACGGCAATTTCAGATAAGTTTCCTCTTCATTCATTAGCTAGTAAGAATCAAACGAGATTGTTGCATTGTCATTGGATTTCTTTTCACTGCAATTGCCTTTTTTTGGAGTTTATAAAAGAACCACACAGCAGATGCCAACATGTCTTGCAGTCCCAGCAGTGCATGTATCTACCCATGGAACTGGATGTTTTAAAAAGAAGGATTGAATGATCAAAACTATCCCTTAATCAGCACTATAACACAGTATCATTAAAAGAACAGCGAACCCCGGAACTGCTGTAGCCTCGATTTCGGTATCCAGCCTGTAGTTATGAAACCATCCTATCCTTCAACAGGCGACGGAACTGACGTCACCTCTATTTGGTGTGAAAGGTCATCTTAGGCCCTTAGCACTTCCTTTACTGAAAGCGGCCGCCATTGAGCAACAGCGGTATGTAATCTTTCCCACACTAAAATCTTCCTGCATCCTTAGAAAATCAACGAAATATCAAAACTCAAGCGGCGTTTTGTGTTAGTTGACACATTGACGGCTTAGACGGGATTGGTATTGGGTGATTTACTGGTATTGTTCGAAAGATATAGCACATAAGAACTGCCCAACTTGTCGGTACCATATTGGTACTGGAATATGGCAGCGTATACAGCCCTAGAGGTTAATTCTTCTATTGAAACTGTTCTGGGTGTCTCTCTTCAGAGGCATGTCACCTACCGAGGCTGTTAATTTAAAAAAAATCACGATTTCGCTGTGTCTGTGCTGTAATCAGTACTGTGATCGGGCATGCATTGTATTCGGCACAGCCAAATGGCTGGCAGTTCGGACATACTCGGGGCTGTGTGTGCAGACCTTTTCTTTGGCTGCACTGTAGCTTAGGGGCTCATTTCTTTGAAAATGTTTAGCTCGGGGTGGAGTTGACGTGTTCCTCAGTCCCGAGTCCGAGACGAAGCATTAGAAAGTCGCTTGCTCTTTTCGAAAGTCTTGATTCACCGGAGCGCGATGGACGTGATCACTGCAGCTTCATACTCGGGAGAGGAAATAAAATAAAAGTACAGGTGGTCACTTCCGGACCATTCCAATAAAAATAGAGAAGACGGTGAACTAGTCTGGTTCTTCACGCGTGCCTTCGTGGGTGGTTGCTGAGTCAGTCTTTTCCTTCTTGGTTTGCAGACATGGGCAAGTTCATGAAACCCGGGAAGGTGGTCATGGTGCTGGCAGGGCGCTATGCTGGGCGCAAGGCTGTCATCGTTAAGGTGAGGCGGTTTGTGACGGACTGATTCTGACCCCGCAGAGGCACCGTTGCCTTCTCAGTTCCTGAGGCATCCCGGATCTTGGTCTGTATTTTCTTGCCCTGCTTTGACGGTGGGCCGTGTCATCAGCGGCTGTGTTTCTGGGCCTGCTTGAAGAGTTTCAGTGCAGTGGTGCTATCGAATTAATTTCCTCAGCTTGGATGGTATTTGACAGTATTGCATATCCTGTAATTTTGAGGAATGCTGTGGAGTATCTACCGGGACAAGATTTTCATTTTGCTATCTTGATAAAATTCCCTTTATTCTATGACTACCATTTTGGACCATTGCACGTCAGGCGGTGGTGTTCACGGCCATGTGTTGTGTTCGGTGCACTGCGTCTCCTGCTGCATGGCTCAAGCCCCCCAGGCTCACTGTGGTTTGTTTTCCTGGGTAGAATATTGATGACGGCACCTCGGACCGTCCCTACAGCCACGCTCTGGTCTCCGGGATTGACCGCTACCCTCGGAAAGTGACCACCACCATGGGCAAGAAGAAGGTCGCCAAGAGGTCGAAGATCAAGGCCTTTGTCAAGGTGTACAACTACAACCACCTGATGCCCACCAGGTCAGTGTCTGTCGTGGCAGGGGACGTCCTGCAGGCATGTCGAGGGCACTGCCAGGCTCTGTCTTCTAAAAGGACTCAAGTTTTTCTTGCCCCTTTGTGGCCATTTGTCTTGCACATCAAGAGCTCATGAACATATAACATGCAGCAGTGATACAATGTAACAGAAGTACAGGACCACGATAGAATATGACCGTTACAAACATCTCTCGATCAGAACTCTTCCAGTACCGTGAGATTAAAAACAATTAGCAGGTAAAGTGTCTAAAACAATAATAAGATCCCTGCAAGACATTGACTGCTTTTAGAGTGTAAAAGAGAGAAATGCTCTCTTCGTATTTATCCAAGGGATTTGGAACTTCCTCCCACCAAAATATTTAAGTCCTTTCAGTGTCCTTTCAGTTGTGATAAATACATTAAAAACAATCTGCTTTTTGTTGAAAGTACTCACTTGCAATATCTATACAAGCACCGTGTGCAAAATGATAAACTCATAGATCTAGTTGCAAATTTGTTCTGGAGGAGTGCTGTTTGACTAAAATGGTAAAGGAAAATTAACTCGTGGAACCAAGTGGAGACATTTTGGAACAGCAGAAACTGCTCTCCTTCACTTACTACCTTTTTTATTTGCACACCCGGTTTGCCTTTGTCTAAAGATGTGCAGCATACCCAGGAATCAGATGCATGCCCTCATTTGCACCTTTCTTAAATTGTTCAAAATCAATTACTTGTGATTGTGATACTTGGAATTTCCTGGAGTGTGTTATGGAGGTGAATTCTGTTATTCATTTCCAGTCAAGATCAACTTGGTATTGAAACAATTATGCATGCAGGAGTGGGTAATGAAGTCTAAGGATGTCGCGCTTATTATGCACAGTCTTAAGAAATCTGTGGATTTTACATTTTATCAGTGGAATTTGTGACCAGAGCTGCTTAAAAATACTTGGAATGAACATAACCATCAGGTAGCGGTAGTTTTATTGCAGGGCCATATTGAATAAAGTAATGCTAGTAGCTTTATATAGATTAACTGAAGTCTTTGGCGTTTTCATCCAAAGCTGCTGGATTGGCTGTTGAAAACTAAGTATTAAAATGTTTCTGAAACATTTTTCACTGTACATTCCTGCCTCAGTCTGGTGTCTTTGGCTGATGAGATTTTCTGTCCTGCTCCCTGCTCAGATACTCTGTGGACATTCCTCTTGACAAGACCATTGTCAACAAGGATGTGTTCAGGGACCCTGCCCTAAAGCGCAAGGCCAGGAGGGAGGCGAAGGTCAAATTCGAGGAGAGGTGAGCCTTTGTTGCCCTGAGATGGTGTTACGATCCCAGTAGTACTCGTGAGAAATGTTCTCCTGCTGTATTATGTTTTGTAAATGTTATTAAATATATTCAGTGTTTTAGTGAGTTTTATAAACCTTCAGTACCTTAAAAGCTTTTTTTTCTATCATTCAATACCATAATGTACGTTAGAGCTCCAGAATTCAGAATAGTTGTGAGTTCAGCAAGGAGGGTTTCCTGCAGTGATGATTAAAATGTTGTTGTTTTTTCCCCCACCACAGATACAAGACCGGCAAGAACAAGTGGTTCTTCCAGAAGCTCAGATTCTAAACTTGTATGATTTCATTAATAAATATGTAAAATCCATAGTCTGGTCTAGTTTTTACTTTCCTGGACTTGTCACACTTGACAACGTGGTGTTTTTGTAAGGAAGGCTGGGGCTGATGAGTCCTCTGAGGAAATCCAGGCGATGTAGGTAGACCTGTAGGTGATGTTCTTCTCTCTGGACCAGATGTCCAAACCTTTCCCCCAGTATGGTCAAGGGAGATCCCTTCTGTTGAGACATTAAACCAAGGTCAGTAAAGAATCCCGACCTTCTTGAAGAGAAGGTATAAGATCAGATCACTTTATTAGCCATGTACAATTTCTTGAATTAGGAATTTCTTTTCACATACCCCAGCTTGCTCTCCATGAAACACACAGGGGTGTAGGGTCAGCCATTTATACGGCGCCCCTGGAGAAGTTGGGGTGAAGGGCTTTGCTCAGGGGCCCAACGGAGTAGGATTCCTCTGCTGGCCACAGGATTGGAACCGGCAACCTTCCAGCCACAGGCACAGATCCTGAGCCACAGTGCCACCACTCCGCCCCATCTGTTAACCCTGGTCTCCTGGCTCAAATTCAATCTGGGTTTGTATAATCTACCGTTCCTGTTTTTCACTCTTAAATGTAGTTTACTTCACTGCCTGGTTTGTTTGTTGGGGCTGCTGGCACATTCAGGTAATTATGCTTAGGCCAGCTGTGTGCTGCACTTCAGAGGTGGATGAAATTTGTCGCTTCGATGTGTAAAGTCCTTTGGGATGGAAAAGCACTGTATTGCATGCAAGCACATTTTTTTGTAAAATAATTTTGCTGTGCTGGCGAGTTTCCATAGTGCACGAGTTGGGTTTCACATTTCATGGTTATTGTTTTTATAGTTGATCCTGGCATCGGCCAGGTGGGGCTCCACATTGGTGGTGGGAGGGGAGCAGTATGTGAAGAGCATACAAAAACTCCTAAAAAACGGAATACTAAATGTGGTCTTTCATTAGTGACTTATACCAAGGGATTACAGGCTTCAGCAAAAGAAGAGAACAAAATGATGGGTGAAACCTTGAAATACCACATGTGCCTCAATCATCCAAGGCTGCTTTCCCATGATATGTGGCTGTAGAATGGCATCCATGGTTGGCAAGATATCAGCCTCCCAGAGGCTGTCAGATTGCTGTGGAGAGCTATTCCAGATGTTGATCAAGTTACCCTAAAGCCAACCCTGAGACTTTGCATGGGTCTGGAAGTGTTGCTGGTGGGGTTATCTTCTGCATGTTTGGGAGGAGAGGGGTGTCGGGTTAATAACTGTGACAGCCAATGATGGGATTGGAGTGTCTAGCATCAACTGATGGAGAACATGTCCTGTGTGGGAGTGTCTACTGTACAAAACCTGGGCCATATTCTGAATTCAGGAATTGAGCCATGAGTTCTATCACTGTGAGGTTGTCCTCGGGTATCACTGCATCCTTTAACATCCATTACATTCACCCTCTCTCAATTGCACAACTGCTCCCTCGCCCGTCAGTGACCTAAACTGGCCTTGACACCCAAGCCACGATCGACATTGTAACTTCTCAACGGGCACCACCAGTGAAGCAGCTTATGGCAGCCGTAGGGAAGAGGCTTTTGTAGGCTTGTAACTGGAAAAGGCTGGTAAATCACTTTGGGTTTTAAACTCAGACGAAGTAACATTAACAAAGGACATTATGGGGATACTGAGTGTATTTTGGAACTGCATCATGTAAGATATACGTTTAAATGGAGTATATTGATAAAAGGCACATTTTTTAAGTTTTTTTTTCTGCATTAGAAAGCATTCACAGTAAAGTCATGGCATTTGCGTGTTGGAATAATACCGTTTTGGTTTACAATTATTATTGAGGACGTTTAAGGATCATGGCAAAATACGTTTTTAAATTTAAACTTCGCAGCAGCAGCAGTGACCGCTTTAGAAACACGAGCAAATTTTTAAAAAATGCCGGTGGATTCTTTCAGTTTCTCTGCCATTTTTAGTAAACCGAAAGTGAAAGGATAATACTTGTTCCTGGACGAAGAACGGGACGGCGAGCAGGCAGAGACGTGAGTCGTACGTTTGCTTAAGTGCCTCAATTGTAATTTAAATTAATAAAACTTAGGCTTGTAACTTTGAATCGAGTTCTAAAGTATAAAACAACAGTTGTCTCTTACGGGCGTCTTTAAACTGTGATTTAGCACAAGGTGGAGCTACTCACGAGTGGTATATGACGCAGGAAAACAGCATGTTTACTTGCATGTTTTATTTATATGTTGAGAAAGTCATTATAAAAAAATACGTTATCGCGAAAAAGTTTTACTTTGTAACTATGGCTGTTTTTCCTTATACTGTATATCAAATACTTTTATCTGTTTATACGCGTCGAAACGGAAGTCTTTAAATCGAAGTCTGACAAACGTTTTAAATGAGTAACAATCTGGATACAGATTTCAAAAGAGTAGCTCTGAAAGATACAGGAATTTAGTCCAAATTAAATGTTTTATTTTATATCAATCTGCCTTTCTCGAAATTTCTGTGATAGTCTGTAATAGTATACAGGCGTCTACAGTTCCTTATTAACGTCATGAAGTGCAGGTGGGGCAAAGGCATCTGGCTGCACTGACTGGTGTACTGTGTAACCACAGTATTACAGAACTGTTACAGTAAAATAGAGTGGTCTTTATAATTACAGAAAGGGCTGTTGCAATTTAAGGTACTTAAGGTACAATACAGTAAATTTGAACTTTATCCTGCACAGCTGAAAGAGGCAAATAATACTGTTAACTCTGCAGGAAGGACTCTTAACCCACGCTCAGACAGTGAAATGTTCCTGCACTCAGAGGATGCAAGTTGTTATAAATGGGAGCAAAGCAGAGCTGGTGTCTCAGTGTATCTCTGTTAGGGGAGGCAAAACTGCACAGGTAGTGTCTCCTGCTTTGCTCTGACAGGATGATCGATTAGTGCCTGTTCTTTCTGTTCTGTCCACAGACCTAAAATAGTCCCAGCATCTAGAAGTAGGACATCCCCATTGCCCAGCAATGTCTGAGGAGGTAATGTATGGAAAGAAAGCTCTTTGTGCTGATTATACATAAGAATTAAGTCACAATAATCACTTTTGATTTTGGCTTATAATAGCCTCTTTTATTTTCTTCACCCTAAAAAAGCTCTGAAATGTTCTAGCATAAAACAGGACCTTGCAACCCCTGTCCCCAGGAGCCACAGTTCCCCTGTATGTTTGTTTTTTTGATTGATCTAATTGTTTGAATAGGGAGTCACTTTGTGTTTTTGGTTTAAGAACATCATTAGATGCTTCTGGAAAAGCAGGACTCTTGTCCTAAAAATCCCTATATCTGGTATAGGCATGCATGCAAAAATGTTCTAAAAAGAGAAAGATTTAAAAACAGTGTTCACAGTCTTTATAACTTTCCCGTGTCACCCTGGTCATTGATGGGTATTGCAGATAGGCAAGCAGCTACACTGTCCTTAGTTAAGCTGCAGGACTGTCGTCATCCTGAAATTGCCCAGTTGTCTGCTTGAACAGCTTTAGAATGCAGTCAGATACCTATTTCTCATTGCATGGACAATCAAACAGTGTTTGGTCACTTCTAGCTATACAAGGTAAGCAGAGGCTGCCTCCATCTGCCTTACAGTTGTGCCCCAGTTGAATGAATGTCAGGAAAATGGGTTTGATAGGCATCTACTAGGTGAATATTTCTTAAAGCTCGTATTACATTTGAAAAGCTGTATCAAATGCGTTGCACAAATAATTGTATCTTCCAGTTCATAAATGAGTTTGTTTTCTCTGCCACCGTTAACTTACTTTTTTAACAAACATGCTTGAAAATAAATTTGACAAATTCTAGTTTACTTGGGTAAAGCATGTTGTTCTTTCACAAAACATGGTGAAAACTACATGCATTTTGTAGCCGTGGGACATGCAAAGAGTAACTGATGTGCCAGCTGATTTCTCAAATGGGCTTCTAAAGCGCATTAACAGATCTCCATGTAAGTACCAGTATTGTGTTAAAGTGGTCTACACCTTTTCTACTGCCTGTCTTACAGGACTTCTCCCTAGTTAGTACAGCTACAGCACAGGGACTTGATGGCTCTGTGTTATCCCCCCTGGACAGCATCAGGAAGGAGATTGAAAAGTACAAGGTTTGTGCTGTTTGTGACAAAACATACAGAACAGTTACAAGCAAAGGTGGCCAGGTGGCCATTTTGCCCAATTCATCTCTTTGGTAGTTAGTGGCGAATGGATCCGAGGGTCTCTTATGTCTTTTTCTTGAAAGGTGTCAGCTTTAACAACACTGTGTAGATTGTTCCGATCTCCCACAGCCTTTGGGGTGAAGAAGGGCCCCCTGTTCTCAGTTTTAAACACAGAGTCATGTAGTTTGCACTGGACAGGACAGAATCAGCCATGCACACTCTGTTTTGTTTGACAGCACTGGTATTTATAAAGAAAAAAAACCCGGAGCCATAAAGCCTGTGTGATTGTAAAAGTATTTGCACATTTGAACTATTTAGTTTGGTTACTTGAAGCTGATTGATCTCTGGATCTCATTTAAAAACATATTTTCTACTGTAACCTCTTGTGTGTGTATATATATAGTAATTAAATCCATGAATTGACTTAAAGGATTGTGCTGTAACTGATTTTTTAAAGCATTTTCACCTTAGATGCACAGTTCATGCCAAACCCCGCAACTCCATGCTACAGCCACTGGTGTTCACTTCTAGCAGAACAAGTGAACGTGCAACATGGAGAAAGAATAAGCTGATTTTATACCAAAACAAATGCAATTAGATTTCAGCACAATTTGACTATTAATCATATTTGTATGTGTTTTTTTTATTTTTATTTTGTTGTGCATGTTTAGAATTTATAGTATTCACAGAGCTCGGTCTGGCTACAATCTCAAGGGAGCTGCATCTGAACATTTGTCCGCTCTGGGTTCACTCGTCAGCCATTCCTGCTCTTCACTGTCGGCGCTGATTGTCATTCAGGGTAGAATGTGTTCAGCAGCCCTGACCTGCTGTCTGTTTGTCTCTGTGTCCATCTGTGAAGGAGATCTGTGACCAGATAATCACAGACCAGAACGACCTGCGGAATGATAGAGACAAGCTGCAGCAGATGACTGAAGAGTTCAAGTTGCGTTCTGTCAAACTCAAGCAACAACGTGAGGATGAAGAAGTGGAAAGATCCCTGACCCTTGATACTGACAAGGTTTGACCCTCCTGTTGACTGTGTTTCTAATTAAAAGAAAACTGAAGCTGGACATCCCCTGTGGCCCGGTCAGTGAAAACACTGGGTGTTGCCAGTCGGTGTCATCACCCGAATGCCCAGCTGGGATCCTCTAATGTTATTGTCCAGTCTCCTGAGCTCTGCTCAGTTATCGGAGCTCGTTTCAGCCACAGGTTCCTCAGTCTATTGTGCAGCAGTGCTGCATGGACCTTGAGCGGCGAGGGTGAGTGTGCCCGACACTGAGCTGTCCCTGCAGAACAGGGCTTGTAGCTTGTGAGGTGATGTGTGGCTCTGACTGCTGCCTGTGTGGGAGGAGTTCTCAGTCCCACGTTTAATTAAAAATGGTCTGTTCCAGACAATTCCAAGATATAAAAAAGGAAAAATAATTTTCACGATTCAAGTGCATTACGTATTTCCGCTGTCCTGAAAGTCACAGTAGAAGGCCTTTTTCATGACGAGCAGTAGACTGTGCTGGTGTGAGGGTACGTGTGTCTGTGTGGGGGGAGGGTTTAGGCTGACGGGGAGCTGCTCTGTGGTTCACAGGAGAAGCTGGCTGAGCTACAGCTGGAGGAGCAAAAGCTTCAGGAAGAGGCTGAGAGGCTGCAGACTGAGCTGAGACATGTGGATGAAATGAACCAGCAGCTGAAACAGGAGACGCAGGTACACTGGTGCAGCCATGCTAAATCACAGCTTAACTTGACAGCATGGTAAAGAAGGGAGCAAGTGTGATAAGGCTCATTCAGTCACTGCCAAATTCAGAAGTGGACACAAAAAGGGGAGCGCACAATGACCAAATACCTTTGATGTGGTTAACGCTTGTTAACACACAGGCTTTACCCTACTGGAATACAACATTGTATCAATTCCTCTTGTGTATAAATTAAATAATTATTTTCATCATGGTCATAGAAATGGATAGATATTCAGTGTAGAGATACCACCAGCTTGGTTCTGTGTCCTGAGACAATCTGAGAAGGTAGTTTCCTTATTCTGCATCCTAATGTTCCAGAGCTGCGATTCTTACAGGTGACCACTGCAGTGCCTGAAAGAAAAGTGGTTTTCACTGGAGCAACAGGTGAAGAGGGGTCCTCCAGCTTTGACATGAACCCCCGAATTGTGTACCCCATGGAAGGCGGGACGGCACTGATTACCTTCGAGGATGAGGAAGGTGTGACTTGAATAAGAAACCCTTAACTGCTGATCACCACAAATACAGGGAGCTAGATCAATTGTGGAACTAAAAGACATTTGGGAGGTTACATTTGTCTTTGAGAAATACATCTAGGTCTAGTCTTTAGGATTTGTCTGCTGAATGTGAATCCTGCTGGGATTGAGGAAATGTGGTAGCAAGCAGTGTTGCTTTCTTTCTTTATGAAAGTAATGCTTAAATATCAATTTCTCCTTCAACACTGCTGACAGATTAGCATTTTGGGCAACATATGGAAGACTGAGAAAACCAAATTTGTAGGTGAAAGGTTAGCTTTTTTCACAAACTGGCAGATTTGTTCAAAATGTTTTTATATAGTTGCATGATGTTCTAAAATACAGTTCTTGGATTAGTTGTTTGTAATGCCCTAGCAAAGATCTATGGACAGCTAGGAACCTTTAGTTTATGAAGCAGAGCTCTGTAAACTGCTAAATGGGATGACATCATCATCACTCTTGTCTGTCTTAGTTGCACAGAAGATCCTGAGCATGAACTACCATGATGTCCAGCTAGGGGAGTGCTCCATTAGGCTGGAGGCCAGGCCGGTGCAGCTGCTGATGCCCAGCTACATTGAGGTACTGTATCAACACCACACTCCCTAGGCCAACATCATCGCCAGCAGCATCGTCACCCTGCAGCTCACACCTGGTAGCACACTGGAGCTCGGCAGCTGTGAGCCTGGCCAGTACCTGGACAGGAGACCTCCTGGGAAAGCTGAGGCTGCTGCTGGAAGAGGTGTTAGTGAGACCAGTAGAGGGCGCTCATGCTGCGGTCTGTGGGGGGTCCTAATGCTCCAGTATAGTGATGGGGACCCTACACTGTAAAAAAAAAAAGGTGCTGTCCTTCAGATGAGATGTCAAACCGAGGTCCTGACTCTCTGTGGTCATTAAAAATCTCATGGTGTTTCTCGTAAAGAGTAGGGGTGTTAACACTGATGTCCTGGCCAAATCACCTCCTGAAAACTACCAATCATGACCTCTTAAAATCCCCATCTGGTGCACTGTGGCTTATTTGCATTATGGAGATGGGGGTACACAGTGGTGGTGGAGGGGAGTCCCCATTACCTGTAAAGCACTTTGAGTGGGTTGTCCAGAAAACTGCTATATAAGTGTAAGATGATATTATTATTATTGTTGTTGTTGTTGTTGTTATCAGTGTCTATCAGTGTGGAATTAACGGTTTACAGACAATATAAGTTATTCTGTAGCGCCTGTGTTCAGCTGTTCTGCCGTCAGAGCGTGTTTGTCCAGCCCTGCCTGCCCCCAGCGGTGTCTCTGACTGACGGCACCATGTGCCCTTGCTGTGTCAGGTGGAGACGCACGTGTCCAACAGGCGGATCCTGGTGTCCAACCTTCCCAAGGACGTGGAGGAGAGCCGCCTGCTGGACAAGCTGGAGCTCTTCTTCTCCAAGAGCCGGAACGGGGGCGGGGAGGTGGAGTCCTTGGAACTGCTGCACGACTCGGGAACCGTGGTCATCACTTTCCTGGAGGACACCAGTAGGTCACAGGAATGGCTGGGGAGGGAGGGGAGGAGATGGCAGAGCGGGAGTCTGCTGGTGGGAATTGTAAGAACCTGTAACACTTTAGATTAGCGGTGGCAGATGCCATTTGTAAATTCTCCATGAATGAAATATATTTCTAAAGTGTTAAGGTAATCTGTACAGTGGATTAATTGGGTGCTAGTTATCCCTAATTCTGACCACTGCCTAAATCACACCCCTAATTCTTACCTCAGGGTTAGCGGAACGTAATACATTTTTAGAATTGTTTACGACATCATCAATAATATGTGAATCAATTGTTTAGTGTCAGTTATTAAGGGATGCTCAAAGAATTACCCAGGAATCTTTCCAGGTCAGCCTCAATGCGAAATAATTACATATCTGCTGGTTCCCTATGTATAATTGCAATCACCCACCACATTATTTTGTCCGATAAAGCAAATAATTGGAAGGAAAATCAGTAGGTGGCACAGTGGTTAGCAGTTGTTGGGGCCCTGGCTTCATTTCCTGGGGAGCTGTCTGTGTGGAGTTTGTATGTTCTCCCCAATGTTTGTATGGGTTTACTCCGGGTGCTCCGGTTTCCTCACACAGTCCACACATGGTGGGTTAATTAGCTTCTGGGAAAACTGGCCCTGGTGTGATTGCACGTGCCCCTTGATGGACTGGCGTCCCATCCAGGGTGCTTCCGGCACGTCGCCAGTTGCTTGCCAGGATAATCTCTGGCTCCCTCATGACTCTGAATTGGATAAAGTGGTTAGAAAATGGATGGATGGAAGGAAATCGGGAATCCAACGAACTTCCCGAGTTTTTGTTTACGCTCCAAAGGAACAAACACAGAAAACAAACCATTCACTTACTTCACATTTGTCAGTAGCTAAACTCTGCTACCCTTCAGGACTAAGGAAGCAAAGACTCATCATCCTTTGTCTTCAACACAGACATTTCCCCTCTTTACCTTCCAGTTGCAAAACGCCTGACTGACATGGAGAACCACACTGTGGAGCTGCTCGGTAAAAAGTATCGTCTGAGGGTGACTCCTTTCCTGAACGGAAAGATCATAGACTTGCAGGTATCGAGCTGAACAAGAATCGTGTGTTTCTGGGGGCGGAGTTGAGTTACTGAAGTTAAAGAGTCTCAGAAAGATCATAAATGACAGGAGGTCGTTTGGTCCATCTGGCTTAAATTAGCTGGTAGTTAATTGATCTGAGCTCATTTAGCCCTTTTTAGAAGGAAATGAGGGTTATCAGTTTCAACCTCGTGGTAGTTTTTCTCTTTTCAAGACTAGAATCATGACATGTTAGCCTGTGTGAGTTAAGCCCAAGAATGTATCTACCCTTTTCTGTAGTGACTCCAGAGCAGCAATGTCTTATATTATCGAGATGAGTAAGGTATAAAGCAGGCTGCCAGCACAGCTGATAATGCTGTTAATATTCAATCTGTGCAAGTCGGCATGTGTACGAAATGCCAGACAGGGCCATTGCGAGGGGCTCCAGTGTTATGAAAGAAGTACTGTTGTCTTAAAAAGATCTGTGCACTGGTCCCTGGGGGGGCTGCTGTTGTGGTTAACCCCTGTCCCGTATTCCCCTCAACCCCAGACTCGGGTGTCGGAGTCCCGGAGGACCGTGCAGCTGGTGGGCATCCCGAACATCATGGAGGAGGACAACATGCAGGACAACCTGGAGATCCACTTCCAGAAGAGCAGCAACGGGGGCGGCGAGGTGGACGCCTTCCTCTACAGCCCCCCGGGCAAGACGGCGCTGGCCGTCTTCGAGGAGGACAGCCCCGAGAGCGCATGAGCCGCGGGGCCGCCGGCGCCACGCCCCTGAGATATTAACGGGGGGTAAATTTACCTGGTAGCATCCCCACTTTTTGCACGACTTTCCCCTGGTTTGGTCCCTTGCTCGGTGGGGTCAGACTCTTCTTTTCTTGGGCAAAAGCCCAAGGGGTTAATCAGAAATCCACACCTTTCCCCAGTTCAATACTGCGCGAAGCCGAGACAACACACTTACCACCGCGTCGCCAGAGTGTGCTGAGAAACTACAGGAGGGCGGGAGGAAAGCAAGGGGAAATAACGTGTAGGGCAGAGGAAGAGCGTGGTACAACCTCAACTCGGCTCTCGACGCTCGACTTCCCTGCGAGCCAGAACACCTCGTCCGAGTTATTTTAATCAAGCCGAGTGTCGCGGGGACATGACCATGTAGATTTATTGTGGTAATATTTCACCAGGGCCGGGCCAGGAGGCGAGGGAAGTGAAGGGAAGGTGAGGCAGTGAAGGCGATCAGGAGTTTATTCCAGTATACCGGAATCTGTGTAATGTTATTGAATTATAATGTGTTTGTATGTACAGTATTGATCTCCACCATTCATATGAGGGACTGGCCCCTGCATATAATTTTAGTGTTTTTACTACCTTTATTGTGACATCTACGTATGTAGGTGTCTATTGCAGTTAATGAAAGGAACAACGTAATGGACAGGAATGTAATTGACTTAATTGACATTTTTTAAAGATTTTAGGGTGGGATTACTGGCCTTTTAAAAGAACTGTTGTGTTCTCTTCACTGTGCTTCAGACATTTTGAGCATTCGGTGCTATTCATCTGAATCTAACGGTGTCCTGAAAAAACAACAAATCTAACCAGGAAGGTTTCTTGTTTTTGTTTATATCTTGTAGAATTGATTATCTTTGCAATTCTTTGGATTTCAAAACCTATGAACAAAATTTGTAACCAATATGTAAGATTATTTGACATTGTAATCTAGTGCAAAGTCTGGGACTTATAGGAGTATGAAAAATATTAAAAAAAGATGTTCTAATTTTCTGAAATTTGTGTTCTTGTCACTGTTTTTGCAAAAGGTTCTGTCAAAGTCTCCACAAAAACTGAAAACTGAAATCAAACTATTTTCTGTCGGCTCTGTGGTGGGTAAAACGCGGTCTTCTCCAGCCAGGCCTCAGCGAGGCACATGAAGGAGCTTGTTAGGGGTCTGTTACTGTATGTCTGCTGACGCCTCCTCTAGGGGCTTTCCTTTTTCCAAGCTCTTTCCCCAGTTTCTTCTTCTTGGACCTTAACTATGCTGAGTGAAACGTGTCATGAGCACTAAATGATCATCACAAACATGGCACTCAGTTCCGTTTTTATTGTAAGTTCCAACGTTACTTATAAAGGAGACGCAGATGAGAAATGGGGTTTCTGGGGGCGATGGGCAGGGTGATGCGATGTGGCCCAGGGCAGAGGGAGGGCGACAGAGAAAAAGAGGGACAGACAAGACACAAGCCCCTTCATCCACAGATCAGGAGTCGCAAAGGGGGGTTTCGTGTCTCATTTTTTTCCCCGAGTAGACACTCATCCTCGCCCCTATGCGCCAGCCGTGCTCTGGAGGCCTGGCCTGCCGAGGGACTCCGGGGGCTCCCGTCTCTTCCATCTCTCTTGCATCTGTCGACCTCCATCTCCCCAGGAGCAGCCTGAGAGCCCAGGTCATCCACCACGGCCACTTCGGGTTCGTGTGAAGACCTGGGCCTGCCTTCATCGCTTAGTAAGGATCTGCAGGGCAGGCGACATCGTGCCAGAGCGGACACTGTCCATAGTGATACGTCATCAGGAAGTGATGTCAGCAGGATTGCTCGGTAGTCTCCACAGGATCATGCTTAGGGGTTAACTATGTACACTGGACAAATCAGGGAGCGGGTTGCGCAGAGTCAAAGGGAGGGACAGTGTGATCACTCTTGAACCTCCAGCTCGCCGTCCCTGATACGCCAGCTCCAGCCGTGGCCAGAGTCGGGCGCGGAGACGCAGCACAGCCTGATCCCGCTGTCGCAAACCTCGTCATCGTAGTGGACCGGGTCTCCCTCCGACATCACCAGGCTGAAGGCTGCCTCTGAGATCTGAGCGGGAAACACATACACACAGGCCAGGTGAGTGGGCATCAGAGTCCTGGGCTCTCGGAGCCCTACTGTTCAATCTACACTGAGGGGCATTCAAAAGCAACAGAATTAGCAGCTTTTGATGTGTTTTAACGTCTTCCAGTTTATGGACGTCAAAGATATCCGCCCAAACCCCCCCCCTCCCCCCCAGATTTTTTCTTTTTATTTCCTGTAAAATAAAACTGGCAAGTGAACACACCTGAGGCTAAGATAATTTCCACCCCAGACCTTAATGTTCGTCCCACGAGACGAGCTGTTCACTCCACCCACTGGCCCTGGAGCATTTCCGATTACAGTTTACATGAGTGTTGTGACTTCATATTACAAGTCTCTAAATCTCCTTTTTACTTCTTATTTGACAATTTAGCTACATATGGGTTCTTAAAAACAGCTGAGTGTTGTCTTACTGGCCCATGCTCCTGGTCATCAGAAACAGGGCAGGAGTGGAATCCGAACAGAACTCCTCGCTGTGAATTCTCACCTGCTCACTGATCCCGGTGGCGATGTGCCCCACCTTCACCTTGGGAGCTTCCCGGATTTGCAGCCACTCCCCCTCAAAATCCCGGATCAAGACATCTACGCCTGCACAGCAAAACACAGCGCAGGGATGTAATTCCACACCGCCATGTTGCAAAACACCTGACACCGTTTGCTGCATAAGTAAACCAGCCACTGATGCAACTACCAAGAGATGTTGCCTTGCTGGGAAGACCTTACTGTCAAACAGACAGGCAATTAATTGTGCGATACACATTTCGGCCACATAAACATTAAAAGTGCAGTAATGACAGAAAGCGACTAGGAGATGTCGCTGTGTCACACAGGCAAAGGTTTGATTCAGTGCTTCATTATAAAAGTCACTTGAGAAGTTCGGAGGCTGGGTTAACTTCACAGCTGGCAGTCTGTCATATAATGTTTTTATCATATATAATATATACAGTATAACATTTTGAAGTGCCTCTTTTCTGCACAAAGGGCTAGGGGAAGTCCTCTCACCATTGAAGCAGCTGGGGGGCTCAGAGTTGGGGCCCAGCCAGGTGTCCATGCTGAAGCTGTGCCCATCGGTCTGGCTATTAAAGGAGAAGACCCCCGAACTGAGGTCATCCCTCACGCTGAGAGACCAGCGCCCGGAGTCCTGTGGGTGGGAGAACAGGGACACTGGTAAATGGACATAATGGTAAATGGTGCCGCGTGGTGAAGTTTAGCAGCTTTATTTACACCAGTCCTGGTAATAAAGTAAGGTAACTCTCAAACTCTCTTACCTCCTGTAACACAACTGTGCCATCTTCTCTGTTAATAATGTTTGTAATGTTATTGCTGTGCTGGACTGCGCCATGGAGCACATCTCTCCCAGTAAATAAGAGAGCTTGAGCTAAACCTCTTTTCCACATCCTAAATAAATGTGTGGTGCCAGAGTGGACAGTCCTCCTGCCCCTCTTGGTTCTTTCTGCCCCGGACCACCCTAAGCGGAGCTCCCAGTTTCCCCCATGTGGTTTCCCCACTGACCTTGTCGCCGGGGTCCCAGTGGGAGTAGCTGTCGCTGCTCAGGCAGGACAGCAGCTGCTCCTGCAGCTCGGGGGGGTGGGCCTGGGACAGGCTGGTCATTAGGAAGGCTGCAGAAAGCACAGAGGACACACACACACGTCAGGAGGTCAGCGCCAACGCACTCGGTGAATAAGAGATGCCGGTTAATGGTTTGAGGTGGAAAACAGGGAGGCCCTGTGTTACACACAGGAGAAGGAGGGTGTGGAACATCACTCCCTGCTGTGAAGGATGAGGTGAACTTGTGAAATATGTTTAGGTGATTTGTATGGACCACAACCCAGCATCTACTGGGCAGACAATATTCCTGAAAAACATCTCAAAGTAAATGCTCAAAGTACAAAGAGTACTTCTAACCTCTGGCTTTTTCTCCAAGCACTATATTCTTTCAACTAGTTGTTCTCCTTCAAAGTTCTCCTTGGCACATAAAGTGCTTTGTAGCAGAAAACTGTGTTGCAAGGGCAACGCTTCAAATCTGCTAGGAAATATGGCTGGAAGGCTGCTGTTGCAGACTGTGTGACCCCACGTGTTCCCCAATTTACACACAGGTTGGTATGACACTGCATCAAACAACGACATGCCTGATTTACCTCTCTCTAGTTGCTGCATCTCTTGCTTAGGCACTGTCGTGGTGCAGGACTCTTGTTTTTGGGGTACAGGGCGAGGGACTGGCTGGGCACAGAGGGACTTTGGCAGCTCAGGCACAAACTCCTCCTTGTACTCCTCTTCTTGTTTGTCTTGTTTCTTGTCCTTGGCATTTCTTCTCCAAGAGCCCTCGTGCTCTGGCATGAATCTGAGGGGCTCCTGCTGTGAGCGGAAGGGGCTGGGAGGGGTTAGGAGAGGCTCCAGTGGGTCATTGTTCATGCAACTGTCCAGCGCTGGCTTTGCACTGGCCGGTTCCTGATAGGGTCCTTTCACAGGGCTGGTGAGTCCTCCCACTGTTCGGACACAAACACAGTGAGTTTCTCACAGTGCTCAGTAATTGCCACAGCTCATCAGAAAAGCTTGTAGGCTACAGTATAAATCTTACTCTGCACTCTCAGATATCAGATAGCTGAAGCAGCGAATCAGTCTTTACCCAGTGGTGAACTGTACTTGCAAAGACAAGGATCCAGTCAACATGAACTGATCCAAGACCAAATCCTTAAGTTTTATTCTTTTTTATTTCTGTAGCACCTAGAGACTGGTCATGATTTATAGGATTTAAGACTTGCCAAGGGATAGCTGCTATCAATCCAAAATTACAGATAGAAATATCAGACGATACTGCTACAGCAACTACTAAGATACCCCTTGAGAAAAAAAAACTTGCCTGGTTTACAAATACAGTATCTGGAAGATTCTCAGTGTGGAATTTGTGGAACAAGTTCTTTATAACAGACAGCCATCACATTTCAGACCTGACTAAACCTATCCAATGGGCAACTGAAAGAACATTTTGCCATTCTGCAGGTCTGAGACAGATACATGCAGGTCCCCCCTAAAAGGCAATCTGCATCACCTTTGGCCTTGTGATCTCAATTCTGATCTCTACAACAATGTCCAGCCGGTTAGACACATGGAACCCCAACCCCCACTCACCTTCTTCCAAGGCCTTGTCCACCTTCTTCTTCAGTTCCGCAGCTGAACCCCTTTTGCTGGGGTCCTTCTCCAGCCCCGCCCTGATGACATCAGCAGTGTACGGGCTGCAGGTGGGCGGGATCTCGTTCACTGGTGGGGGCTCGTTCGCAATCTGGCGGGACACCAGAAAATCATAAAATCGCAGGAGAGCAATCGGTCACCAAATGATAACACTGGTGACAGACAATCCTCTCGATAACAACCCAGCACAGGCGAGACTATCCATCTCTTAGATTATTCTCTTTAGATAAAACAGGGCGTTCCCTGTGCATGGCATTCAGAATAAATGGTGACCCATGAACCAGAGGACACAAGTGAAAGTTTTCATAGAAGTGCATTTAAATCTGAGAACGGGATGCAGTTCTTTATTTGAAAACTTGTGGGAGTGTGGAGGATATTGTTGAACTAGCTTCCCTCAAAAAGACCTTGTATCAATTAGCTCCAAACTTCTAAATGAACTAAATGGGTTGAATGGCTTCTGATTTGCAAGCTTTCTTATGTTTCTTCTCGTGATCTTAGTAGACTTTTGTGGAACCTCCCTTGTTTACTCTGCCCAGCAAAGAGAGCATTCTGCAGCTTTCGCGTCCTTCCTCCCTGATGTGGATGCAGGCCCTTGCTCTACACGTCCCGGGAGCTGCGCACACCCACCTTCAGGCACAGCGGGTGCGTGTAGTAGCGTGTCCAGGGGTGACAGCCGTTGAGCATGTGCAGCATCATGCAGCAGCTGCTCCACACGTCTGCCTTGGCGCTGCAGGGCTCTCCGCGCACCACCTCCGGCGCCATGTGGGTCTCCGTGCCGTGCAGCCCCTCTCCTGCAGACACACACAGACACGGGCATGGGGGGAGTGCTTCCTGTGCGTCTCACCTCACTTTCAGACATGTGCACCCGGGCATCTTCAACCCAAATCCTGGGCTGTATGGTAATATAACCCACAGCTAGACTGAAGCCCCAAACCCCACTTTATAGCTGAGGCGAAGTGCAGCATGATTCTTTCTTCAACTTACAGCCTCATGTATGGGCAAGGTGTTTGGAAAAAAAAGAGCAAGAATGTGTCTATGACTCCAGCTACTGAGAAATGCGGCTAACCATGGGACACTAACCTAAGGACACAAATGGAATCTAAGGGAGAGGGCGTTTAACACCAAAAGCAGGAGGATCCTCTTTATGCAAAGGGTTGTGGGTGTCTGGAACGAGCCATGTTGTTGTGACAGAGAACCTGGCTTCCTTTAAGAAATGGCAGGAAGAGATGCTGAAGTCAATCGCCTGCTAGCAATGAACAAGCTAGCCCACTCGAATGGCTTCCTCCCGTTTGTGACCACTGTTACTCATCTGAGACGTTTCAAATCCATCAGGCATCATGCTCTACTGAGTGCCAGCCAGCCAGGGGTATACATAAAGCACTGCTTGGTCAGTGTGTGAGAGTGAGGCTGGCGCCAGTCAGGGTTTGTAAGGGAATACTTACCTACAACGGCTCTGTGATACTGTCCCTTGAAGTCCAGTCTCTCCGAGTGTCCAAAGTCACACAGGAAAGCATCCTCCCCATTCTCTGACAGCAGCACGTTGTCAGCTGAAGAGGAAGACCGAGAACGCTCACTATCCTGCGATCAAACAGTACTGCAGCTTCTTAAACCAAAAGACTCCTTCTGACCAAGCTCCTTCACTCGGTTACAACATACTGGAATTTTGAAGTACAGTGTGTGTGAGAGTGCACTCTCCTTTCTGACAACGCAGCCAAGTCTCTGTACGCACACCAGAGGGCGCTCTCACTCACAGGCTGCGCTGTTCTCTGGGCCCGGACGTCTAAAAGTCTCCGCCCCCACGACACGCGATTCCTGGAAATCCCCACACTTCGCTGCAAGTAAGGCAGGGTGCGCCTTTGTTCCACCACAATATAAAGCCATCAAATAAATATCACCATGCCGATCAGGCGGTTAGATTGAAAAAAAAAAAACACGAGAAAAAATTCCCTTCTTTTTTTTCTGACAGGTAAGACAAAAACAAGTTCGCAATTTTACAATAATAACAGAAAAAACAAGGGATAGGAGTGATCCCATCTCCTTATGAATTCAAAGCACTGGCTTGCCCCTCGTACAGATTGTATATTTTTAATAAAACAGCTTTCAACTACATCTCCTCAATGTACTTATACTCTTTGGAAAGGAGACTTGTACAGGACTACTGATGATTAGCAACATAAGTACAGCCCTGGTTTAGAAACAAGTAGGAATATACGCCTTGTCATTCTGAAACCAAAAACAAATTACTCTTTTGGCCTTGCTGAACCACAGCTATGCTGCTCTCATAAACACCAAACTGGGATGTCAAAATAAGAGTGTTTAAACCTACAGATGATGCTTAAACACTCTTATTTTGCAGTTCTTCTCTGTACGTTTTTGTGCATCTCTGTGGGTGTGCATGGGTTTTTGCATGTCTGAATGCTCAGGGTGTGCTCGTCTGTATATACTGTTTTGTGTATCTCAGCTTTGGCATGCGTGTTTTTGTGCATATACCCGCATATGTGTGTATCAAGGTGTTTCTGTTTGTCCCAGTGTGTATGCGTATCTGCATGTGTGTGTCAGTGTGTTGTTTGTGTCTCAATGTGTGTTTGTGTGTGTGTGTCAAGATGTGTGTCTCAGTTTGTTGTTTGTATCTCAATGTGTGTCTCTATGAGCGTCTCAGTGTGTTTGTGTGTGTCTCTATGAG